CTTCTTTGTTGCTGACTTATTCTTTTTTTTTTTTTTTAAGATTTTATTTATTTATTTGAGAGAGAGAATGAGAGATAGAGAGCACGAGAGGGAAGAGGGTCAGAGGGAGAAGCAGACTCCCTGCCGAGCAGGGAGCCCGATGCGGGACTCGATCCCGGGACTCCAGGATCATGACCTGAGCCGAAGGCAGTTGCTTAACCAACTGAGCCACCCAGGCGCCCGTTGCTGACTTCTTCTTACCAGTGGACTAGACTCTGGACAGCTCCTTGCCCCGTAGAGACCTGGCCCAGGGGACCAGCCGTCTTCACAGCTACTGCAGAACCAATGGCCCAGCATCAGGCTCCTGCTTATAAATACAGCGTTGCTCAGAGTTAGAAGGGCCCGGAAGGTCATCCAGATTGATGCCCACCCCAAAGGCATGTTACCTGGTGGCTTGTGGGGGCCACTGTATTGAGGCCTGAGATTGGAGATGGCCTGCGGGCTCTCCCGGCTCCTTGTATCCACACAGACCCAGTAGATCAACTTCCCACTGCACCGGTGAGGTGCCTGAGATGATCCTGGGACTCTGCCTTCTGCTCCTTTCCAGGGAGGCTGTTCCCGAGGTGGCTTGCTCTGCCCAGTGGGCCTGGCTCAGCCATTTGCCTGACCTGCTGGGGAGGGCAGCAGCTGTTGCTGTTGGCAGGCAACCTGCAGACCTCCGTGTACCTTGGTGCCCACTTGGCTACTCTCCCCACTGCGGAGCCTCCCTGGCACCTGGTCCTTGAGACCCCCTCACTCCGTTTGACCTTGTGGTGGGGCCGCGTCATTGTCACTTTCCCATGGACTGTATAATCTGCCTGTTCCCCTGCGTCTTGCCAGCTAGACTGTCAGCTTCCGAGACAGGTCCCAGCACCAGGCCCAGAGCGGTGTCCGGGAGGCGCTCAGTGCACCTGTCGGGAGTGAATGCATCACAGCTCGGCCGCTGTAGAGAAAGTGCCAGGTGGAATTCAGGGAGTGTTTCCTCGGCCCTGCTGCCCCGTGTGCCGGGACTTGGCTGGGAGGCATCGCCATGCTGAACCTTCTTTTTGACTTTCTGTGAACTATGAGGAGGGGTGTTCACCTCTGGTGGGTTTGAGATGTAATGACGTACTGTAGAGTCCTCCCATTTACAGTGTCCAATCCAACAGGTGTTAGTATGTTCACAGAGTTGTGCAACTATCACCACAGTCCATTTTAGGACATTTTCATCCCCCCAGAAGAAACCACGCACCCCTGAGTTGTCAGCCCGCCCCTAGCCCCTGGCACCACTAACCTGTGTTCTGTGGATGTGCTTACTCTAAATGGTATAAATGGACTCGTACATGAGGTTGGAGGGGGGGCTTCTTTCACTGACTTGTTGGGGACAGCTGAGGGGACTTTGGTACCCCACCCCCAGCACCCCTATAGGGTAGAATGTAAGTGAGTCTATGAGCCTTACGATGGTAAGTAGCGAAGCCAGATTCAAACCAACCTGGCTGGTCCCCTGCCCTGGCTCCAGAGGGGAGGCTGGGCTGGTTTGGGGGCAGAATGAAGAGGCCTCTCCGGGAAGGGCATGCAGTGTGGTGGGGGGACCCAAGGCAGGCCAGCCCGTTCCAGAGGGCAGGTGGCGCTGGCCAGTGTCTAGGCATCTCCTAGAACTGTCAGGATCAGCAATTTTTTTTTTTTTAAGATATTATTTATTTGACAGAGACACAGCGAGAGAGGGAGCACAAGCAGGGCAAGTGGGAGAGGGAGAAGCAGGCTTCCTGCCGAGCAGGGAGTCCCATGCGGGGCTTGATCCCAGGACTCTGGGATCGTGACTCGAGCTGAAGGCAGATGCTTAATGATTGAGCCACCCAGGCACCTCTGCTTTTCTTTCTTTCTTTTTTTTTTTTAAGATTTATTTATTTGAGAGAGAGAGCAGAGGGGCAGAGGGAGAGAAAGAAGCAGACTCCCTGCTGAGCATGTGGGACTCGATCCCAGGACCCCGGGATCATGACCTGAGCCGAAGGCAGATGCTTAATGACTGAGCCACCCAGGCATCCTGGAGGCTCCTTGTCACTCACAGGTCCTCTGTCTAGGGTACCCCTGATGGAGGCTCCATTCGCTGCTCTCCCTGGACCCGTCCCTGCTCTTCTGAGCCCTGAGAGCGCTTGGCTGTGACCAGGCATTTGGGGCACAAGTTCCTCGTGTGAATCCCATGTCTGCCGGTTTCCAGAAACACTCGTGGGCTGGAGACACAGAAGGGCCCCTCCCATCAGGCAGGACCTGGCTCCAGTGGGCTCTGCAGACGGCCTGGTGGCCATCAATCTCCATCCTGCTGCCTTGCCCAGGCCAGGCTCACGCTCTTGTTTTTGAGAAATTCTTTTCTTTCCAAGCCTTTTCCCTTCTTTCCCCTGTTCCAGGAATGGAAATTCCACCAGCTGGAGGGAGGCCCTGCTCCAGAACCCCCCAGCAGAGAGGGGCTGGGCCTTTTGAGCTGGGCGGACCCTCGGCACATGGCCTAGCCCATGCTCTCCGCTTCAGCCAGTTTCCCAGCCCCGGGACCCAGACACACTGCCCATGAGCTGGTCCTTGGGGAGGCAGGCGGGAAGCCTGGCTGCAGCCCCTCCTCCCCCTGAAGAGCGGCCCAGCCATGCCGCTCTTCTGAGCCCTGGCCTTTGGCTGCAGGTGGATGGGAGGCGTGGGTCCCCTCAGCCACGCCAAGCACATTCCACAGAGGAGAGGGAGCAGAAGGCCCCACTGACCTAGCCTGGTGGACTTGACCTTGCATCCTTGGCCTCTTCGCTGTCCCCCGTTTGCTGCAGGGATGGATGGATAGAGGGCAGGGCCCTGCTGCTCAGAGTGGCCCCCAGGCCAGCAGCATCGCATCATCCAGATGCTTCTTAGAAATGGGTCTCAGGGGGCGCCTGGGTGGCTCAGTCATTAAGTGTCTGCCTTCGGCTCAGGTCATGATCCTGGAGTCCTGGGATTGAGCCCCACATCCGGCTCCCTGCTCGGCGGGAAGCCTGCTTCTCCCTCTCCCACTCCCCCTGCTTGTGTTCCCTCTCTCGCTGTGTCTCTGTCAAATAAATAAAATCTTTAAAAAAAAAAAAAAGAAATGGGTCTCAGGACCTGGCCCCTGGGACCCCTGCACCAGAACCTGCATCTATAAGACCCCCAGGTGACTTACACTGGAGAAGCTCTGCCTGGGTTGCACAGAAGCCGGCCCCGCGGAATGCAGCCTTGTGGTTGTGGGGTGCCTTCAGTAACAGGGACGAGCCCCTGGCCTCTTGCCCCCAGGAAGCCCCCCCTAAGCACTGCCTGCTCTAACCGAGAGAACACTTTGTGTCCCCGGGCTGTCTCAGGTCAAATTGCATGGCCTCAAATTTCATTTTTAAAAAAGTCAGCCAGAGATGAAACCAGAGCAGCAGGAGGGCCTTCCTCAATAAAGCGTCTTGGGAAGCCACCAGTTTCCACGTGTGCTCTGAAGACTCTTCAAATACGAACCAGAACTGCTATAAGGAGCATGATCCTAGTTCTTTAAATACCCAAATGTTCCACTGGCTCCAAGCCACAAGGCTTTGACAGTTTACACCTGGTGACATTTAGCGAACAATTTCTGAGAAGGCTGAGGGGGAGGAAATATTTGGTTTAACCTGACATTACATCCTCTGGCTGATTGTTCTCTCTTTTGCCAATATACCATTTGCCTGTAAAACACTTGGGCCTAAAAATAGCTGCTGGGGCTTGGTGTCATTGTGGATGAAGGGCAACTGCCCCATTTCTTTGGCTTTCAGACACCCTCACAGTATCGCAAGGAAATGTCCCAGAGGAATCAACACAGCGCTTTGAACCTGAATTCCTGAGCAGGGCTGGCGAGAGAGAACTTCACAGTGGGGTAGATGGGGCCTCAGGGAGTGACCTCTGCCTGGCGTCACACCCCTTAGCGACCAGGCCAGGCCACTCTTTTTTAATTTAACTTAATTTAATTTTGAGAGAGAGTGGGGGAGGGTGGGGAGGAGCAGAGGGAGGGAGAGAATCCTCGAGCAGACTGTGCTGGGGATGGAGCCCAACGTGGGGCTCGATCTGACGACCCTGAGATCATGACCTGAGCCGAAACCAAGAGTCAGATGCTTAACCGAGCGAGCCCTCCAGGCGCCCCCAGACCAGGCCACTCTTAAAAGGGAAAGGGGGCGGGCGCCTGGGTGGCTCAGTTGGTTGGGCGACTGCCTTTGGCTCGGGTCACGATCCCTCAGGATCAAGTCCTTCACTGGGCTCCCTGCTCGGCGGGGAGTCTGCTTCTCTCTCCGACCCTCCCCCCTCTTGTGCGCTCTCTCTCTCTCTCTCTCAAATAAATAAAATCTTTAAAAAAAAAGGGAAAGGGGCCCTGTTCACAATCCTGCCAGTTCGGCCAACCCCCTCTGGTCAGTAGGCTCTGCACCCCCACCCCGTGTATGGGGATGTGGCTTCCTAGGCTGCTCAGAGGAAAGACGTGACAGAGAAGGGGTGAGCAGGACCCAAGGAGCCGCGTTCTGGTCATCTGCGCCATCCAGGACTCCCTGCCCACAGAGCGGTCACTACTGCTCCTGGTACAATAAAGTGGCCTTCCCAAGGGGACACAGCCAGCACAGCCTTGTCCCCACTTCCCTTTGGGGCAGGGACTGTGAAGCAACTGTGGACCAGACACAGCATCCCCAACAGGGACCCTCTTTTCCTTCCTCACACCTGGCCCTGTTTTAGGCCTTCCCTCCCACGTTTCGTTTATCAACAGCATTCCCAGCTGCAGTTCATTATCAAATGGGCACTGGGCTTGGGGTTCCACCTGCTGTGAAGGGTGGCGTGGGGGTGCCCCTGACACTGGCATCCCTACAGGGCCAGCGCCTGGCACCCAGGCAGCCCCAGCTGGCCAGTGGAGCCCCGGGGGGGTCTTCTTCGCCCTCCTGGGGTAGGGCCTGGGCCTTGGCCCACAGTCAGGGTTCCGGGACCTCTCTAACCTGCCTGTCTCTGTGTGTGGTCCACAGCCCGAGACCGAGGACGAGAAGAAGCGCTTTGAGGAAGGCAAAGGGCGGTACCTGCAGATGAAGGCCAAACGGCAGGGCCGGACGGAGCCCCAGCCCTAGGGGCCGCCCCTGCGCTGGGCCTGGAGTGGCCCCAGTGTCTAGTCACTTAGAATTCACCCCCTTGGCCAAAAACCCAATCCACACTGAGAGCTGGTGTTGTGTGAAGTGTTCGTCTTGCAGTGTTAACCTGTGCTCTCCTGAAAACCTACACACCAAAGCTTCATTTCTATCACTCCAGTGTAAGCGCTCCCTAGGGAATACTTGCGTGCACACTGTACGGTGTGTAAAGAATCCAGCGTCACTAATAAAGCTGCTGTTTGGCTGGACCTTGGTCCTGAGTGGTCATTTGTCTTGGGGGGCCGCGTTCCTGGCGGGCACTGATGAGGGGACTAGAGGCTTCCATGGGCCCACCCCTCCCTCCCCCGCCCCGGGTGCCAATGCCTGCATGTACCCCAGAACTCAGGTGCTGGCTGGAGAGAACACCCCTTCCCTCCCAGGGCCCTGGTTCCATGTCCTGGCCTGGAGGCACCAGCCCCCCCTTGCCCTCTCTCTGGCCTATGCAAGATGCCAGCTCTGAGCCCCCAGTAGCCTTCCCGTAGATGGGGTGGACGGTGCTTTCGAGGACTCAGGGAGGTGATGTGCAGAGAAAGCTGAGGCCAGCCCGGCTGCAGCACCCTCAGCATATGGGAGCCCTGCCCTGGCTTCCCTCCACCTCTTAGTGGAAGCAGCGCTGAAACCTTGGCCCTCTGGAGAAAGAGGCAGAGATTTTGCTAGAAGGAGCCTCCCAGCTGGTGCCAGGGCCCCCACGCCTGTCGTGGAAACCCCCAGCCTCTCGGGCCAACGGGTTATTGGGAAGGCTCGTGGGGTGGGGGGGGTCTGAGGGTGGTGTGTGCACGAATGGTGCCCATGCACGACTGCGTGTGTGCGCGTGTGCACACCTGTGGCCCTGTGTGTGCACCGAGGCCAGCAACCTCGGGGCAGACAGGCTGCCGAGGCCACTACGGGCATCCGTCCTTCACCCCCACCCGTGGCTGAGGAAGACTCCTCCACCAGGCACACCTGGTGGGAGAATGTTCCCAACTCGGGCTCATCCTGGGAGCCTGGAGATGGAGACTGACCACAACAGCTGCAGCCTCACACAGGGCTTCCTCAGGCCCAGAGAGAGAGGAGGAGGCTCCAGATGTGCAGAAACCCCCGCCAAGAGCTTTGGAATCTGTCTCAGGCCTCAGTCCCAGCTGACGGGGTTATTTCCTGCCTGGAAGCAGGGGGAGGGAACACGCCACATGAGGCCACGGCAGCAGCCCCCTCAGCCGCCCCAGCTCCACCCATGCCCCATGCCGACGCCCCCGAAGGCAACGGTGGTGCCTGGGCTGGGAGCGGCCAGGAGGCCTGCCCTGCGTGTCCAACGGGAAGCCCAGCCCAGGCCGGCCAAACCATGGTCCGTGAAACCAGAACTGTTATGGCAGTGCCTGAGCCCTCGGGTTCCCCGAGGGAAGGGGGCACTAGGGCATCTCCGTCCTTCTCAGTCTTGGCTTGGCCACTGGTCTGTGTGGCTTTGGGCAAGCCAGGTACCTAAAATCCATTTCCCAGGGCAGCTGGGGGGAGCCCAGGCCAACAAAGCGTTAGCTTTGGCCATCCTCCAGGATGGCCACTGGAGGCCCATCCCCACCTGCCCCCAGAGCCAGCTGAGCCCGGAGCAGGGGCACACTAGCAAAGGCAGTAGTGGGTGAGCTGGGCTGGTGGAGGGGCGCTGGGGGCCAAACGCCTGGGGCAGGCTGCCCTCTGCTAGTGGGGCAGCAGTGCGGCCAAAGGCTAGGGATGACTGGATCGCCTGTGTTTGCCTTAGAAATGTCACACTTGATAACCAGCCTCCTTGTGCCAGCCTCCCACTGCTGGTGGCCTGTTTATAACCAGGGCCCGCTGGTCAGGGAGCTGGCCCGTCCACGGAGGGCTCACTAGGGGTCCTGACTGCCCAGAAGCCACACACGCACAGCGCATGGCCCAAGGCCCCCCATTCACCAGCCCCACTTCATTTGGAGCCTTTGGATACAAACACCTTTACTTTTGTCTCAGAGGACTGACCCTAAGGCCTACCCTGGGTCTCCTAACAGCTGCTCCTAACTCCCCAGCTGTTCCTGGGATATGGAGATGGGGGGGCTGGGGACAGTGCGGGTGCCAGGCCGTGGAGCGGTGCAGGCAGCACTGGCTGCATTTGGCTAGTCCTGTCTGGACAGGTGCCCCCTTCCCAGGTGCACGGGCAGGGCAGGGTCATGCCAACAGCCCAGAGTAACTGGAGGCCTTGTGCCCAGGGTGTGTGGTCATGGGTGTTCGGGAAGAGACAGGAGACAGGCAGGGTCCACTGCCTGGATGGGAGACCAAGATACCAGCAATCACTCTCTTGTGGCTCCAGAGGTCTCCAGAGGCCCCCAGCCGAGGACACTGATACGATTCCCTCTAGATGTCTATGGGTGGCAGCCTGTGCACCCGCCAGGAGTGCTAAGGCGGGTAGCTCCTGAGGGGGGTCGGGACCAGGAGTTCTGGGTTGTAGGCCCGGCCTCTCCCTGCTGCGCTGTCCTAGTTCCAGCTTGAGAACATTTCTGAGCCCTTGGGGGGGGAGGGACAAACCACCTGGCAACCCTGTGGCCTGGTCACCATTCCATGGTGGACCCCGCCCCGGGGCCCAGGATAAGTTTGAATCCTTAACTGGCCCAACCTTACCTCTCCTGCCCCAGCCCCTTGATCCTGACAAACTCCCCAGTTCCTGGAAGTATCTAATCCTCAGGCTACTCCGCACCCCACCCCTATTGTTCACCTTAGATGTGGCTTCCTCCGGGAAGGCCTCCCTGAGCCCCCACCCCCGTCCCTAGACTCGCGCTGCCCATTCTGGCCCCAGGCCCCCTCGACCTGCCAGCCCCCAGAGCTCTAGGCCTTCCCTTTGCCAGGGGGCTTGGAAGCGACATCGGGGCAGTGGACCGACCTGAGACGGCAGCGGGGGGCCGCGCTCCCTAGGGGGCTTCAGTCCCGCGGCGGCGGGGAGGCTGGGGAACCATGGACCGACAGATGCACGGACAGACGGACGCGGCGGCTGGCCGCGCCTCCGGGGGCGGGGGGGGGGGGGGGGGGGGCGGTCCGAGGGGCGGTGCGGAGGCATGCGCCCTGCTCCGCCCCCCGCCCCCGGCCTCCCGAGCGCAGCCAGCGGAGCGGCGGGAGCCGAGCGCGGCGGCGGCGCGAGGGGAGGGAGGGGCGGCGGGTCGAGCTGAGCCGAGCGGAACGTGCGGGCCCCGGGCGGCGCCGCCAGGATGCCCCGGCCCGCGGGCCGCTCCGCTGCCAGCCACCCCCACGGCCCCCGGCGGCCCGCGCTCGGCCGGGGAGCGCGTGAGCCGCAGCCAGAGCCGGAGGCGGGAGCAGCGAGCAGGAGCCCCGGGCCCCCCAGTGCAGGGTGAGCGCCGCCGCCCGGGCCCGAAGACGGGCTGGGTGGGAAGGACCCCGGGAGGGAGGACCCCCGGCGGGAGGGCCCTGGGCAGGGAGGGGCTGCCTGCGGTCTGTTGCTCTCGCGGTCTGTCCGAGGGGCCGCGGGCACCCCTGAGGGCCGCGCACCCCCACCCCCGACTCGGGGACCTCCGGGGAAACTTCCCTGGGGCTGGCCTCTTCCCCGGTCTCTCCCCCGTCCCCCCCGCCTCCGGGTCTGGGAGCGCCGCTTGCAGGGAGCGGGGACGGCCAGTTTAGGGGTACTGGGCCCACCCCTACCCAGAGTAATCCGTTGGGGCGTCCGCCTCCCGGGCGGTAGCTCGGACGCGCCCTCGGGGCTGGGTAGGGCTGGGGGTCCCGCTGGGGACCGGCAGGCTGGGACGCGCCGGGTCGGGCGGGAGTGTCGAAGCACGGAGGAGCGGGGCCCGCGGGATTGGGGGGCGGGCGGGGAGGGCGGGGGGCGTGCCGGAGATGCGGAGGCTCCGCGCAGCGAGCCCCGCCCCGGGCGGCAGCGGGGCCGGACCTCACGGGCCGATGGGTAGCAGCGCGGGCGGGGCGCAGCTGGGGGGGCGGGTGGGTAGCAGCCGGGGCGCAGGCCCGCGCGAGCTGGGCGGGTGCAGCTGGAGCCCGCCTGGAGCCCGGGAAATCCTTTCAAGTTCTGGGTTCTCTTTGTTGCGCAATAGAGCCCTGGGGCCACGAGGCTTCATTGGTCCGGGGCCGTGACGTCACGCCGGGGCCCCGCCCGAAGACCCAGCGGGGGTGGGGGGGGAGAGGCTTCTAGGCAGGCTGGGTCCCACGCCCGGCACACCTGCAGTCCGCCCAGCGACGAGCTGTGGGGGGAGGGGAGAAAGGAGGGGCTCCGGGATCTGGGGGAGGCAGGAAACCCCAACCTGAAATGCTGGGGGGACGCTTTGAGTGTATTGCGGAAGAAACTTCCCAGTGGGGAGCGGCGACACCTGGGTGTGGACCGCACTGGCTGGAGCCCAGCCTGGGGTCTGGCCCTCCGCGTCTGCTGCTCCCTGTGGGGAATGAACAGCAGGCGCCTGATCAGCCCGGAGGAAGGGGTCTCCTGGTCCCTGCGCCGTTAGCCCCTTCTCGCTGTGTATTTGGAGGACTTGGTATTCACCCCGCCGTGGCATTCTTCCCCCATCCCAGCACCACGGCTCTCAGGAGTCCTAGGCTCCAAACCCGGCCCTCGCACTTCCTCCCTGTGTGGCTCTGGGTTCTGAGCCTCAGTGTTCCCATCTGCAGTGTGGGAACAGCAGGACCCATCCTGCAGGGGTAGGTAGTTGAAAAAGGCAACCTCAGTTCAAGGAACAAAAAATGCCTGTTCTTGCTTGGGTTTGGGTTAGGGTTTGGGTTTGGATTTGAGAGGCCAGGAATTTTGATGTCAGCAGAGTGGGGCTTGGGTCCTGGTTCAGACACTTCATAGCTTGGGCAAATGGTTTAACCTCTCTCTGTCTTTGCTGGACTATCTTTAAAATGGGGATAATGTCAGTATTGATCACACAACATCTCTGGGGACACTAACTGGGACTGTGCCCGTTCCCATTGCCTGCTCCCTCTCCAGGCAAGTCACGGTCCTCCTGCCCACAGACCGAGGGCCTCTGCGTGCAGTGAGACACTGTTAGGCCAGACACGGGGCAGAGCTGGCACCATGAAAGGTTACGCCAGTTGTGGCCTGTGGCACCTGCCCCACCACCCTGCACCAGTGGTCAGCAGGGCCCCAGGTGACGGGGGCCGGACAGAGCCTGTGGGGATTCTGAGGGACGGCCTCCCAGTGGGACAGCCAAGGAGACCCAGTGCGGGTGGAAATAGATTCTGGCCCACCAGGTGCGTGCTGAATCCAGCTTCCCGTTTGACAATGTAAAGATCACCGGTGTCTGCCGTCTCTGGCCCACAGCAGCACCCACACCCTGCCCGCTCGGGATCCCCTTGGGCTTCCTCACCCCAAAGCTGTGCTGTCCCAGGTTCTGCTTGGGGTGGCTGTGTCTACCCACAGGTCTGAGGTTTACCCACACCCCCAAGCTCAGTGTCTCGGCCCTTAGGGGACAGCGGAGCTCAGTGAGCTGGGTGGGCTGTAGTACAGACTTGTACCTGGCAAGCATTCGTTGAGGGCGTACTGTGTACTCGGCCCCGTCCATGGCATAGCTTGTCTACTACTCACAGCACCTTCCTGGGTAGGTATTATCATGTCCAGCTCACAGATGAGAAAAACAAGGCCCGGCTGGGGTCTATAACTGGCGGGTGGGCGAGAATCTAGCAGCTCTTTACCCAACCCCATGTGGCCTCTGTATGCTGAGGTCAGAGAGCTTTGCTGGACTCTGCAATGGCTGGTGGAGGGTCCCATGGGGCCACCCCCCCTCCCACACTGGATCTGGGGTGGGGAAGAGGAGGATGCTCTGTAAGCAGAAGTCTAATGTTTGGGAAGGAATTTCCCTGTCCCCAGAAACCCCCCAACCTCCTAGGAGGCACTTAAGGAGCACTGGTGTGGTCCAGAATAGACTCCTCCCCTGGGTCAGGGGTCTGGGCAGGCCTGAGGCAGGGGCATGGGGATGAATGAGACTCATCCCTGAGGGATCCTTCTGTATCTGGGTGGGGGGTGGGGTCAGGCCACAGACAGACCCAAAGAACTCTAGACGAGACAAGAAGCGGCGCCTGGCAGCAGGACCAAGTGGTACTGCTTCGCCTGCCCTGAGAGCCAGCGGCCTGCCATGGCCTGTCCATTCCAAGCTGGGTAAAGCCCCTGGGGGATCACATGGCTGTGTCTGGTAACAGTAGGTGCTCATAAGTGTTGGAGGCAAGAGAATTGCAACCAGTAAGATTAAACGGGCTCTGGAGTAAAAAGGGCCACGTGTGCAGAACACACAGTAGGCCTTCACTTAGCATTGTACTTCTCCCCACACTGCCTCCTCCAGGCTATGGCCAGAGACGCCTGTTGTGGGGCCCCACATCAGAGGGACCAGCCAGTGCTCTGCACAGGGGCGTGGCTTGGGGCTGCTGGGCTGGGAAGGGGGAGGGAGGGACTTAGAGCCCAGCTCTCTGGCAGGATGGACTGCCTCTGCAACATGTGCATTCTACCCAGCATCCCGTGTCCCTGGCTCGTGGCCATAGGCTATCGGCAGTTCCTCCTTGGGGTCAAGGTCTGGTCCCTCGGCTGTCTACAGGCCCATGCTGTCCCAGGCATCCACAGCATAGCACTGATCACCTCCCCAGAGCACCACTGTGTGTGAGACCTGGACCCACAGCATAATCGTGACCACCGCCCAGAGCGCCCACTGTGTGCCAGACCTGGACCCACGGCATAATGCAGCTGCCCCAGGAGCAAACCCAGATTCCGTACCTTGGCCAGGAGTGGGTGGAAGGGAGGGTGTCTGCACTTACTGGGCACCCCTGGCTAGTCCCCTGGGTGCCAGGGACATGGGCTAGAGGCCCCTGAGGAGAGGAGGGCGGAGCAGCCCAGCCCAAGTCAGGACCGCACAGGTCATGGTGCATCAGGGGGCCCCTCCCTCTCCCACTCCCTGGAGGCCCAAGAGCGTTGATGCCCTAGCCAGAGGGACAATCTCTGAGCACTCCCTGGCTTCTCCCCCACTGCAGATGCTCGCGGTCCCCGGTGTCTCCGAGCCACCACGTGTGAGGGCTTCTGCTCCGAGCCTGGGCCTGGCCCCCAAGGAGGATGTCTCAGCTGCCGGCCAGCTCCCGTCTGCACCATGAGTGATGAGCGGCGGCTGCCCGGCAGCGCAGTGGGCTGGTTGGCGTGTGGAGGCCTCTCCCTGCTTGCCAACGCCTGGGGCATCCTGAGTGTGGGAGCCAAGCAGAAGAAGTGGAAGCCGCTAGAGTTCCTGCTGTGCACGCTGGCGGCCACCCACATGCTCAACGTAGCAGTGCCCATCGCCACGTACGCTGTGGTGCAGCTGCGGCGGCAGCGCCCCGACTACGAGTGGAACGAAGGCCTCTGCAAGGTCTTCGTCTCCACCTTCTACACCCTCACCCTGGCCACCTGCTTCTCCGTTACGTCCCTCTCCTACCACCGCATGTGGATGGTTCGCTGGCCCGTCAACTACCGGTGAGCCCTGGGGCACGCGCGCCACTGCACTTCGGCGTCTGGTGGTCTTAGAGGGGGGGTCGTGTGGGCAGTGGGCACAGAGGCCACCTGGGGTACCCATGTGCAGAAACGCCCCCCCCCCCAGAGGCTCAGGAAGGGCTGCTCTGGGCTGCACACCTGCGCGTGCAGGGGTGTCCACAGTGTCCAGTACGGAAATGCGTGGTGGGGGGGATGTGTGACTACATGCATGAGGATCCCCTGTGCAAGGGACAGGCCCCACTCTGCTGGCCGTGCCGTGACGATGATGTACCAGGGGGCCAGGGCAGTTGGGGATCCCTTGCAGGGCCCCAGGGCTCTGGGAAGACCCTGGGAGTGACACCTCGGTCCTGCCCCCACCTCATGCCAGGCTGAGCAACGCCAAGAAGCAGGCGGTGCATACGGTCATGGGCATCTGGATGGTGTCCTTCATCCTGTCCGCCCTGCCTGCCGTCGGCTGGCACGACACAAGTGAGCGCTTCTACGCCCACGGCTGCCGCTTCATCGTGGCTGAGATCGGCCTCGGCTTCAGCGTCTGCTTCCTGCTGCTGGTGGGCGGCAGTGTGGCCATGGGTGTGGTCTGCACCGCCATCGCCCTCTTCCAGACACTGGCTGTGCAGGTGGGGCCGCGGGCCGGCCACCGCGCCTTCACCGTGCCCACCATTGTGGTGGAGGATGCGCAGGGCAAGCGCCGCTCCTCCATCGACGGCTCTGAGCCTGCCAAAACCTCGCTGCAGATCACGGGCCTGGTGGCCACCATCGTCATCATCTATGACTGCCTCATGGGCTTCCCCGTGCTGGTGGGTGAGACTGTCAGCGGGTGGGAGCCTCTCCGGGGACGGGACGTGGGCTCTGGGACAGCCCTGGGGCTGGGCGTGCTCCAGGCGTCAGGTGGTTGAATCCTCCCATCCAGTCCTCGGAGGGAGGGAGGGAGGGGGCGGCATTATCATCATCCCCATTTTAGATTTGGAAACTGAGGTTCAGAGTGGAACCATCACCCACCTAAAGTTAAGGCAGCTGTATTAGGACTTGAGCCCATGTCAGGGGACTGCAGAGCCCAGGATCTTTGTGGTACACTGTAGGGGACATTCCTCACCAAGGTGAGGCCCATTCGAATCAGAGGGTGTGGAAAGTGAAGTCACATACCCACCTGGCCCAAGAATAAAGTCTGGATTCAGTAGCCATGCGCTTGCACCCACAGGGTTCCAGCCCAACACCCTGAAAGTTCTGGAGTGGGGTAGGGAGGGGTTTTGGGGCAAGGACCAGCCAGAGACTTTGTCCAAGCAGCTGGGCAGGGCTGTGTCCCTGGAGTCACTGCAGGACACAAGCTCCAGAAGGTGGCAGGTGGGGTGGCAGCCTCAGAGTCAGGGGACACACAGGATGCAGTCCCAGGCACCCTGTGGCTCCACCCTCAGTGGGCCTGGTAACCGCCCTACCCAGGTGCTGGGTTGTGTGCAATGGGGCCCCGCGTCTCCAGCCTGTGTTGATGGAGGGAAGGAGCGTGTATACAATTACAGAATCAGAAGGGGACAGCCATGGAGGAAGAGCCTCCCCAGCTTCTCTTCAGGGCACGGAAGGGAGTGCAGTTTATGGAGCCCGCTCCCTGCTGCAGGCCTGCTACGGTGTCTGGGATCTTTACCTCACTCTCTGGGGTGTTCTTGGCCCATTTCACAGATGAAGAAACTGAACCCCAGACAGGTTCAGCACCTTTCTGAGGGTCACACAGCAGAACCAGCATGATGAGTGTATCATACCCAGTTCTGCTCTGATGGGGGAATAATTAAATGTCACTCTGGGTGGGGGAATGAACTCTCCTGGGACAGGAGTGAGGGTCCCTGGGCAGGGACCCAAAGGCTTCCTGGTTGATTCTCAGAAACTCCTTTGATTCTCCTCTGAGATCCAAGACCTAGACCCCCGGTGCCCTCCAGGGTATGGGTAGGGCTAAGGAGGCCACTTGGCCACAGAGGAGTGGGGATGGCAAAAAAGTCCCTGAACTGGTAAGTTTGACACCTGGTTCTCCAAGTTCCAGTTTCCTCTTCCCAAAAAGGGGTTGGTAAACCATGCCCATGCCTCTCTCCTCGGGCAGTCATGAGGCTGGCATGGGGCAAGGCCCTCTGTGAAGGGCTGTCCATGCACACACGGGGCGATGGCTGTTCATGTTGGTAGCCGACAGCTCTTGGTGGAGAGGGACTTCTGCTCACGCTCTGGTTTTCCTGCCCAGGAGCCTATAGCTCTGTCTCCCTCCTCCTCCTCTGGCAGGTGGGAGAATTGAGGCTGGGGGCGGGGGGCAAGCTGTGTGACAGGGGTCCTGCCAGGTGCCAGGCCGAGCCGTGTGCCCACAGGTGGTGAGCTTCAGCAGCCTTCGGGCGGACGCCTCGGCACCCTGGATGGCACTGTGTGTGCTTTGGTGCTCGGTGGCCCAGGCCCTCCTGCTGCCCATATTCCTCTGGGCCTGCGACCGCTACCGCGCCGACCTCAAAGCCGTCTGGGAGAAGTGCGTGGCCCTCATGGCTAATGATGAGGACTCAGACAATGGTGAGGACGGCCTGGGAGCGGCCCCAGGGGAGAGTGGTGCCTGGGTGAGGTCAGCAGGATCACAGGTGACCATGTGCTTGAACCCCCAAGGGACCTAAGTGTCCTGTGGGGCATCCTCCTACCCGGCTTGGCTGTCCCAGGCAGGACCTGTGGACACCAGACTGAATGCGTCCCACAGAGCTTCCACCCTTAGGGGTCCCCAGAAGGCTCCCATAGACCCAGGTGCTGTCTCACCCCAGCAATAACAGTGTTGCCCTCGGTTGAGGCTTTGCTATGGTCAGACCCTATGTGTATTTAGCCCCCACCCCCAAAGCTCACCAGGTAACATCACATCCCATCCCCATAGAGGAGGAGCCTGGCTCAGGTGATCTCCACAGTCCCACAGCTAAAAGGTGGCAGTGTCAGGATCTGAACCCAGCCTCCTGCCCTTTCTGTGTCTCTGAGGCTCCCTAGAACTCACTGTCCGGCGCCCCCAGGTTTACACGGCCCTAAGCTTTTGCCCCACCCTGCAGATACCAGCCTGGAGGGTGGCATCCCCCCGGACCTGGTGCTGGAGCACTCCCTCGACTACAGCTATGGAGGTGACTTTGTGGCCCTGGACAGGATGGCAAAGTATGAGCTCTCGGCCCTGGAGGGGGGCCTGCCCCAGTTCTACCCACTGCGGCCCTTGCAGGAGGACAAGATGCAGTACCTGCAGGTAGGGACAGGGCCGGGCTCCAGACGCCGGAAATGCGGGGTTGGGGGGAGTATCGTGATCGCCCCAAGGCCTTGCCTCTCTGAGCCCCGCGTCGGTCCCCGTTTTCCAGGAGGGCAGCTCGGGTTAACCCCGCCCGTCCTGACAGGTCCCGCCCACGCGACGCCTCTCCCACGACGACGCGGAAGTGTGGGCCGCCGTCCCGCTGCCCGCCTTCCTGCCGCGCTGGGGCTCGGGCGAGGACCTGGCCTCCCTGGTGCTGCCCGCCGGGCCTGACCGACGCCGCGGCAGCCTGCTGGCCTGCGCAGAGGACGCGCCCCCGTTCCGCCCGCGCCGCCGCTCCGCCGAGAGCCTGCTGTCGCTGCGCCCCCTGGCCCCCGACGGCGGCCCACGCCGCGTCCGCGCCTCGCCCCCCGGCAGCCCGCGCCTCCGCCCCGGGCCCGGCGCCCGCTCCGCCTCCGCCTCGCTGCTGCCCGACGCCTTCGCGCTGACCGCCTTTGAGAGCGAGCCGCAGGCCCTGCGGCGCCCGCCAGCCCAGCCAGCCCCGCCGGGGCCCTTCCTTGACAGCTCGCGGCCCGGCGAGGACGCGGCGCCCCCTGGCGGCGGCGGCGCGCAACGGAGCCCCGGGCCGCGCCTGGCCGTGCACGCGCACGCGGGACCCCTGAGGACCGGCCTGAGCGCGTCGTGGGGCGAGCCCGGGGGCCTGCACGCGGCGGGAGGCGGCGGTGGCGGCGGCGGCGCGGGCAGCACCAGCAGCTTCCTGAGTTCGCCCTCCGACTCTTCGGGCTACGTCACGCTGCCCTCGGACTCGCTGGGCTCCGCGTCCTAGGGCCTGCCGGCGCTTCCCCACGCGCGCCCGGCGGGCCGGGCCGCCCGCAGGGACCAAAGCACCAAAGATGCCACGCTGACCCAGGCCGGGTCCCGGGCAGCGCCACGCGGGGCCTGCCGATGGCGCCTGGCCAAGTGCCAGCCCTCCCTGCGTGACTGAGCCGTGGGCGTTGCCTGGAGGGGCGGTGGCTGCCCTGAACCGCGGCTGGGTAGCGCATCACGGGGCAAAGCGAGGCTGGACTTGGGTAAGGGCGGGCTCTGCACGCCCTGATGTGCCTGGGCAGCGGGACTGGGGGGATGGGGGTGGCAGCAAGGAGCCCAGGGACAGGGCCACCACCAGACAGAACAAAGCCCAGCCCTGCAGAAGCAGGAGCCACGGGACTGACTGCACCCTGCTTTCCACTTTGCACTGTTAACTGTCTCACCTCAGTGGGGGGCAGGGTACAGAGGGTCTCTAAGCACAGGGGTCTTCAGAGCCCAAACAAACTCTCTGAGCAGGTGTTCCTGCTGACCAGTTCTGCCTCAGTTTCCCCATCTGTAATGAGCAGGTGACCATATTAACTCTCAGGACTGTTTGGAGAAGTCTCCTGGTCCGTGTGCACCGGCCCCTGCATGGACAGGGTGTGAGAGCGTCTAGGGCCCTCTGTGGGGGTCAGTCTTCAGTGTGTGGCCTGCTGTGGCCTCTGCGCCTGAGGCCTCCCACTCTCAGTGCCCCTGGACCCCCCAGGAACTCACCCCACCCGCACCCCAGCTAAAGCACAACACTTTGCACCATCACCCACCTTGACCATTGTTAGCGCCCCGCCCTCATCACTCTCCCCACCACGGCAGCCACCTCTAGGATTCCCACCATGAAGGTCGTGGGTCCATGATGGGAAAGAACTGAAGCAAGGGGAGAATGGGCTTCCTTATCTTGAGGCCCCCGGGACAGGATCCTGGCTTAGAGGTCTCCCAGATTCTGGGTTTAAGGCCTGGTCCCTGCTGAGGGTCCTCTCTCACCCCGGGGGCGGGGCTCTTTGCTCTCTTTCCTGAGCAGACCCCTTGCTAGCCTAGGCTTTGCCATGGGCCTTGGGGAGGGGCCTGCTAGGTCTTCCGTGGAGAGAGACCCTAGAATCAGGCTAAGCAGAGGCCCGGGAACAGCTGTGATCTTGAGCTGAAAGGACAGGGCCAAATGCAGAAGTGGTCTCGTCCTGGCCCCTGCCTCGGCACAATGGCCCTACACAGGAAAACCCTGGAGCAGATCCCAGGGCCTGCACGGAGCCTGCCTGCACTGTGCTCCCTCCTGCTCTGCAGCCGCTCCAGCCTTCCCGCCTGTGGCCAAGCCTATTTCCTCACCCAGCTGACAAGGTGTCAGCCCCAGAAGAGGCCCCTGGGGGATGGGGAGGGGGGCAAGGATAGGGGACTGGCTCCATCTCTGCTTCTGAGATGGCTGGGGGGTAATGGGAGGAGGGAGGAGCTGGCCACAGGTGAGCAAGGCAGGAAGCTGCAGTACAGCCGCAGCCGTGGGACGCGCCACCTCTGGCCATCGCTGTGCCTTCAAGGACCAACCTGTCATGTGGGGGTAGAGATCTTCAGCTGGCCACTGTGTCGTTCCCCCCACCTCACCCCGCCACCCACTCACCCCTGCTCAGGCCGGCCCATTTGTCACATTGGGTTTTTACTCTGTGTACTTTCTATCCAATGGCAATATTTGCAGGGAGACATGGTACCCCAAAGTCCCTTCAGTTCTGGTTTTTACAAAAATAAAAAGGAGGGAGGACCCCAAACGGAGGACCCTGGAGCCTGGGGCTCCTCTCACACTTCATGAGCCTCTAGGCCTCTTTGCTGCATTCATAAGCAGCTTGACCCTGGGCTCACAGGGGAGGGAGCTCTGTCTTCACACCACCACCCACCCAGAGCCAGGGATCCGTTTGTAGTTTTTTGACAACTGAGCATTTCTCTTCTGTACAGGATACAATAAAAACTTCCTATGATTTGCACCTGGCATTCCTAGGCTAGTTTCATGGAAACACCTTTCTAGAATAGAGCAGCACTGCTTAGCCAGCTGCCCCCAAACGTCTCTCCTCTGGGTCCGGAATTCCTCCTAGTGCGCCATCCTTTGGGTCGGTGCCCCTTTTCTATGCAACTGCTGCAGCCCCACCCAGCGAGTGAGACTGGCCTGGAGCAGCTGCAGGATGGAGCTGTGGGCTGGGCACCAAAGAAGCCCTAGAAGGGCAGCTTACAGCCTCGGCTCCAGGTGTAGCTTCAGGGGCGTCTAGCCCCTATGAGGTTGGCTCAGGAGGGCAAGAAGCGTAGGGCCGAGGCTGGGAGGGGGTGGTGGTGCCGGACCGTTTGTGCGGCTAGCGGGCTCGGGTGAGAATTTGGAGGCCGCACCAGGGTCCGCGGCGTAAGGTCGCCACCTAGTGGCTGCGGAGGGATTAGTGCGGCTGCCCTGGTCCCCCAGTCGCCCCCAACGCAGTAGGAGGCGGAGACCCAAGAGGCGGGCCCCAGGACCGCCACAGCCGGGACCCCCTCCCCGCCTGTGCTCCAAAGAGCCTGATGGGTGGAGTGGGGGAGCCGGGCCGCTCTCTCCTCGCCGCCTAACCAGAACGGGTTTAGCACACAGGCAAAGCAGGGGCACTCCTAAACGGGCAATGTTTTACAGAAAGTCGGTATTTGTCGTTCAAAAGATGCACCGAAGCAGGCATCGTGGGCGAAATTTGGACCTTCGTGGTCTCTTTATACCCATTTCACAGGTTTGCCCTGTGTGTATTCTGAATTTCAAACTGGAAGTGCCAGGATCTCTTCCGGGGCTCGGCGCGGGATTCCCGTCCCCCAACCCCAGGCTGCCGCTCGAGAACCAGGACCCCGGGCTAGAGTCCGAGCACAGAAATGACCTCGTTTTCGGACGAATAAACAGGCGCCGAGCGCTCCGAGGGTTGTCGAGGGTCGCGGGCTCTGTGGCGGCCACGGAGGTCCGGAGGCCGGGACCCTCAGGAGCCGCGCGCGGCGGGGTGTGGGGTGAACCGAGCGAGGGGCGGAGCATCTTGCGGGGCGGGCTGCTGAGCCAGGACGGCTCCGGGCGGGTCTTCTGAGAGGGGCGGACCTCGGAGAGCGCGCCTGCCGGGTGGGCTGCGCCTCGTGCGGAGGGGGTGGGGATCCGTGGAAGCCGAGAGGATCCCAGGTGGGGGTGGGCTGGGGGCCCCTCGCCGGCGGGGCGGGACCTGGCGCGCTTTGTGCCGGTGGGAACCGGGCGTCCTCGGCTGGCTGAATGGGCCGGGGCGGGGCAGCAATTCTCCTCGCTGCGAGGGGTCCGCTCTGCGCCGCTGCCGACGGCGACCTTCCCACCGCGGCGTGGCTGCTGGGCGGGGGGTGGGGGCGGGCGGCCCGCCGGGGGCCCTGGGAAAGAGGCGCAGCCTGGGACATCCCCTCCCAGCCCCAGGAGAAGGTGGGAAGAAGAGAGAGCGGGTCTGGCTTGAGTAGGCGGGGTTAGGGGGGAGGTTAGGGTGGACCCCGGTCCCCCCTGTGGTTCCGTGTATTTCCTCGCGTTCGCGGGCGCGCGGCACCCTCCCGGCCACCCCTGCCACGGGACCGGGACGGACGACTGGGGGTCCCGGCCGTCACCGCAGGCGCGCTCTAAACAGTCTCTGCGTCCCCATGCCAGGCGGGGGCCCCCTTGAGTCCGAGGCCGCGCCGGGACTCACCAGGGCCGCCAAACGCCCAGACCCGGCCCCGGGCTCTCGGTGCAGCGGCGCGGCGCCGGCTGCGGCCCCGGGACGCTGGAGGACGGGCCGGGGAGACCTCTAGGGAAGAGGAGCAGGGGTGGCGGGGAGGGCGAGCCGCCGGTGGCCGGAGCAGGGGCCCAAATGGCAGGGGCGCAGGGGCCGAGCGGCGCGGGTGCCTCCGGGCTCGGGCCGGCGCTGTCCATGGTGCTGCCTCCTGAGCGCTCGTGCGCCAGGGGGCAGCGCAGGCCACCGCCTCCCTCCTCTCGGCGCCGCAGAAGCTGGCTAACGCCGGGCAGACAGCTGCGGAAGCCCGACGGGAACTCAGCTCCGCTGGGAACCGACCGGAGCCCTGGGGGGAGGGGAGCGGACGGGAGAAATGTGAAGGGGAGGGAAGAATGGGAGAGGGGAGGAGGAAAGGAGAGGTGTAGAGAGAGAAAAGGAGGGGAGAAGAGTGGCGGGGAAGGGAGGGGAGGGGCTAGGCAACCCGAATTTCTTTCCCAGGGTCCAGATTTTCGCCCACCCGGATTACAACTGCACTAGCCTGCAAGGTCTTTGCGGCCTCCCGGCTCCAGCAATCTGGGGCCCTCTCCTCACCCAGCTGCCCACTGCCCCGAGCTTTCTTCTCCATCCATTTTTCCTTTATCTGGACTTGTCATACCCAGACCTCACAAGTCACCACCCCCCCGCCCCCGCAGCTCCTTGCCCTACCGGCTCCAGACGCCCTCCCACCTTGCACCGAGTTCTGAAGGCTTTTCATGTACTTGACGCTCAGCTCCAGTATGTCTGCCTTCTCCAACTTGCGTTTCCGGATCTGCAGATCAGTGGAAAGGGCTCTTAGCCGGGCAGTCCGATTTGGAAGGAATGAGGTTGGGGATTGTATCACCCCCACCCCACCACGGCCTCACGTCTCACCTGGTGTGAGTAGTGTTTTTCCAGCAACGACTTCAGCTGCTCCAGGGACACATTGATGCGTGCCCGTCGCTTCTTCTCCATCAGTGGCTTGGAGATCTGTGGAGGGGTGGCATTTTAGGGCAGGGCGATGGTCCCCTCACCCTCTGCCCCACACCACCCCCGCCTTGGCAGGGCGCCCACCCTGCGCTCCTCAGGACCCCAGACCTTGCGGAAGCCGCTGGCATGGCCACCGGAGCTGGCCTGGGTCCCGGGCTTAGTGCCCATGGTGTCGTTATCTGCGCCTGTGGGAGGCAGTGCCGCCTTTATAGGGGCTTCTCGTTTACATGTCAATGAGGCGCTCCTGGGCTCTAGGAACCCCGAGGGGGGGAGGAGATGAGAGGGGGATGCACTGTGAAATTCCCCACCTCCCTCTTTGCCCGGGCTTCAGCCTCACCTCCAGGAACCCTCCTTTCTTCCAAGGGACCCCCCTTCCCCTTTCCCAGTCTTTCCTTTATCCCTCTCACCCCCACCACTTCCTGAGTCTGGGGTCTCCTCCCATGCACACCCCTCCATGCCCTGTCCTCTCTCCATGTCTAGTGTCCCTAGGTACTGAGCCTCACCACTAAGCCCACTTACTAGGCCCCTTGCTGCCCCTTGCCTCCAAGCATTCTGGGAGGGCACCCCCTGAGGAATGTTCATGGGCCCAGCTGGCTCTGAGCCTGGCTCATGACTCTGACAAGGTGCCGGGCCTCTCTGGGCCTGATGAAGATGCGGAGGCAGGGAGGACCCGCCAGTGAACCCTTTCTGCGGGTTTCATGCTCTGGCCACGCTGGCAACGCCACATTAGTCGCCCTAATGTTGGGACAATGCAGCGATTTTCTGCCTGTGGCTGCTCAAAGCCGGGCACAGGCTGGGCCCGAGGGGGCCAAGCAGCGACATGTGTCCCATTAAAGCGTGCAGCCCGCCCTCAGGGCCACAGCCAGTCTCCTCCTGGCTGGGGTCTTGGACTGGGAGCACTCCTGTGCAGAGGTGTAGCCTGGGCTCATGAGCCCTCTGGCCCTGTTAGGCCCCGATCCACCTCTCCTAGCTGGGGGTAAGCTGCAGGCAGCCTCAAGCCACGGCGAAGAGAACAGCCTCCCCATCCTCATTCCCGGATTTCCAGGCTGGACAAGTAAGGCTCTGACACTTTACCTCCCAGCCTACGCGTTCATTCCCACCAGCCTTCTCTCGGTCCCAACAAATGTAAGGTGAGGGTGGGAAAGACCACTGATCATATGGGGAGAGCACCATTCTGTGCTCTTGGAGGTCTGGAACCCCCAAACACTTTTCATTATTTGGGCTGTGGTTGGAGACCCAGGGAGCTCCGTGAAGGAGGCACCCACACCAGGACCGGTTAGGCCCTACAGCAGGACTGGTGCAGTCCCGGGTTGGACCCTGGGAGCAGGACTCCAGTAGCTGTGACTGACAGACAGGCTGACGTCCAGAGGAGTCCCTGAAGTTCATACCGAGTTATATCTGTCCTGGGCTCGCAGGGCCTCGGTTTCAGAGTTTGTAAAATGGGGTTCCGAACAATGCGGGCCCCCACGGCTGCTCTCGAGGGTGATGAAGCAGCATGGACGCAAAAGCTCTGCAGATGCGCCCTGCGGCAGAGGAATACACAAATTGGCCTTTGCAGGGACTCAGCGTGAGGGGGAAGGGACACTGCTGGGGCCTGGGTGGGCCCCCTCGGCTCCCTGGAGCCGGGGCGTCTTCTCCCCTGACACCTGCCCCCCTGTCCCCTCCCGGAGTTTTGAAGGGCCCTGCCGGGGCAGAGGCGTTCTCCAGCGCCAAGCAGCGTGGAGAATCGCGCCCCGCCCTCCTTTCAGGCCTAGGTTGCGTGGTCCTTGGTTTCGAGGTGCTCTTCCGCCACGGCCTCGGGACCCAGCGGCCGGATCTGGGCCGGGCCGGGCCCGGGTTGGGCGGCTGGGCCGAGGCCGGACGGCAGGCGTTGGCACGCGCCGGGCAGCTTTGAAGCGCCGGGGCTGACCGGGCCCCATTGGCCTCCGTGCGTTCCTCCGGCTTGGGGCGGTGGCGGCTCGGTACAAAGGCGCCGCGGGGCAGGCGGGCGGCGCGGCCGGGCACAAAGGGGGCAGCCGAGTGTTAAGGGCATTGTGCCGGCCCCACAAAGCCCGCCCCCGCCCGCCCCCTCGGGGCCAAACTCCGGGCGCCCCGCCGCGCGCGGGCTTCCAGCTGCTGCACATCTGCACGGAAGCTGGGCGCGCGCCTCGCTCTGCCGGTCGCCCTCACCCCCGCCCCCGCTCCTGAGCCGCGCAGGCTGCGGGGCAATTTGTCCTCTAATTATGATCCCTCCCCATAAACCGCCGCCCGCGCCTTTCAACTCCGGCGCATTAGCAAACCAACGGCCCTCCGCGAGGCCCTCGCGGCCCGCCCCCTCTCCAGAGTTAGGGCCGCCATAAAGGGGCCCGCGGACCGCCCCTGCCCGCACCCTGGCATCCGCAGCTCCTCCGGCCATCACTCCTCTCGAGCCCGAGCCGAGGGCTCCCGGCCGCGCTGGGTGGGGCCGCTCACGTGGGTGGCTTAGTGTTTTCCTAAGCAGTGGAAAATTGACCGCAAAATGAGCTAATTCGCAATGTTCTGCTTTGGCTGCGGGCGGCGGGGCTGTCGGGGAGGCCTGGGCTGGACTCGCAGCCGTCAAATTCGGCCCCCGCCCACTTAATGGGCCTCCGCCTCCGTTGCCCCCTACCCCTACCCCGGCACCGCCCCCTGCGTCCCCGTTTCTCCCCCATCCCGGAACAAGTTCCCGGGGTGGGGCTCCCCCCGCCACACGAGCCCCCCGCCACACACACACCTAGTATGATTTCCTCCCTGCTTTCCGGGTTTCCCACTCCCAGCCTGGCTCGCCCGCCACGAACAGCCCTTAAGCCGGCTGAGGGTCACGCAGACTCGGGAAGGAAAGAGATCCCAGGGCGGATTCCGTCCCCCCAACTCCCCCTTTCCCGTGCCGGGAAAAATCCCCACTTTACCAGCAATTCGGGCTCCTGAGCAGCCACCTCCCCACTAAGACCCAATTCCTCTCTTCCCTCCCCCACTCTTCTCGAGCCCTGAGCCTGAGCATCCTACCCACACTCACAGGTAGGCGGGGCTCCGGAGGGGTGCGTAGAGGTAAGGGAGATGATTTCCGACGTGGGGGGGGGGGCCCGGCACACTCCCACCCCCTTATCTGAGAGCAAGCAAGGGCGAAGTGCTCTCAGGCTGCAGGGAAGGACATAGACCAACTTAGAAGCCGGGCTTACGCAAACTGGGATGTAGGCCACCGACTCCCTTTCCATCTTTAGCATCTGGGATTCCTAGGGGGCCTGGAAAGGGGCACTAGTTCAGGCAAAGCGCTGGGGAGACCCAGGCTGCCCTTTGCTCATTCAAGGAAAAAATTCCTTCTATAGTTCTGGAGGCCTCTGGGGGCTTCCAGGAATACTCAGAGCCCTCAGCTTCCTCAGGCTTGAGAATTTAAGGCAAAAGTGAGCTGTGACTTTGTTCTCCCTCCCCCCTTCCCCCGTTTGGTTTAAGAACATTACAGGGGCGCCTGGGTGGCTCAGATGGTTGAGCGTCTGCCTTCGCTCAGGTCATGATCCCGGGGTCCTGGGATTGAGCCCCACATCGGGCTCCTGGCTCGGCGGGGAGGCTGCTTCTCCCTCTCCCTTTGCTTCTCCCCCTGCTCATGTTCTCTCTCTCTCTCTCTGTATCTCTGTTTCTCGAGTGAATAAATAAAGTCTTAAAAAAAAAAAAAAGGAAAGAACATTACAGAGCAACTGAGGTTTTGGAAACAAGGGAGGGAGGGGGTTTGCAGGTCCCAGGCCAAGAGACAGAACAGATATTCTACCGGCCCTCCCAGGTGATGGCCCTGTGTAGCTAGCCTCCTCACCCTGGGTGAGAGCCCCTTCTCTTCCTCCAGCACCCAGACATTGAAAGCCATGCTAACTGGTGAGTGCCGCAGAGGCCACAGAGGGTGAAGGGGGGGGCAGAGAGAAATGCACCGCCGTCTCTGCAGATGCATTTCAAAGTGGAATGAAGTGATTGCTTCATGTAATTAACTATTGGGACACAGCAAAAGCTCTGAAATGACTCAGCCGATTGTCTCCAGATGGGGTTGGAGAGGCTGCGATTGTTTAACTCTCTTTAGCTGTGTTGGGACTCCGAATAGCCCGGCCGCCAAGGGCCCTCCAGGGGACAAAGGCTGGGACTCCGGTGAGTGCATCAACACTGAACTGGGCTGGCCCAGCTCAGGGAGAGTGAATTCAGAGAGACCCCCATTGTCCCAGCCCTTTGTGTTTCTCCCCAGCTGGCTCTAATCTTTAAATATTTACCCGGCCCTTTTGTGCACACATGACTTATGCACTTCGGGCTGATGTGCTCATAAATTACGCATCATTTACCCGTTTCCAGACCAGAGAGAGGGGGCTTTCATGCCTGAAGCCCAGAATGGCCAGAGGAGGGAGAAGAAAAGTGTTGGAGGATCAGGGTTCCCTCCTGGGGAGAGCAGCAGCTACACTGAACAGGCCCCTCCTGGCCTCCACGTGGGAAGTGGATGGGACAGAGGAACTGTGAGTGACAAGGAGCCCCCAGGAGGCCCCTCTAACAACAACTGATTGGGGGACCCACCAGCAGGGAGGAGGGAGAGGCCAGTTCTCAGACTTTTTCTTACGCAGGGTCAAACTTGGACAAGAACAAACTTCTCACCCTGAGAAGCTGGTGTGGGTCGAGGTGCTTGGTGACACCTCATCCCTGGCACCTGCCTCCAGCTTGCTCTGGGTCATCCCCTCTCCCTACATTCTCCCTTGCTCCATCAAGGAACCCCGTTTAAGAAAAAGAAGGCTAATTTCATCTCAGCCTGCAGTTTAACTTGGAAAAGTCAAGGCAGTTCTTAGGATTCTTGAAACAGGAGGAATCCCCACTTTGGTCAGGATGGAAAGCCACCTCAGCTGGTGGGCAAATGGCAGGATGAGGGGGCTGCAGGGGAGACCCTGCAGAGGGACCTTCCTGCATGAGAAAGAGCTCCCTTTGTACTTGCCTCCCGGGTCCAAGAACAAAACACATTCAAATGCTTATTTACAAAAGAAGGCAAGTGAGGCATCCCAGGGTTGAGTAGTTCACCTTTATGTTCTTATATTTTTGTGGGCTTGTTGTTCTCATGCCTGCGGACGACACTGGAGAACTGGATGCGGAGTGGATTTCTTTGACCAGATTGCTTCCCTCTCTGGTAGCGGGTCTCAGTGTATGAGTTTCTGTCCATATCTCTCTGTGAATTACTGTTTCTCTGTGCATCTCTCGATCTCTGTGTGTGACTTTGTTTCTCTGGGTCTATGCCAGCATGTGCATATGTTTGCTTACTTGCCTCTTTCCTCCATTACTGCTCTGTGAGCTGTGGGCCCTGACAGATTCAGCAACTCCAGGCACTTGTAAAAATCCCCCTTCCCTCTGGTCTGGCCATACCTGGCAGGGGACTGCTTTCCCTTTCTTTCTTCCTTCTCCAAGATGGTGCTGATGGAGATGTATGGTCTAAAGGGAGGTGGTAGGCAGAGAAGAGAGGGTTGCTCAGTCTCACCAAGCTGGATTTCCTGGCACTCTGTGCCCCCAGAACGGGGGTGCATCAGGGCCCTAAGTCAGTGTGGACAGCAGATGCCAACGGCCAGAAAAGGAGCTTCCTAGGAGCAGCTCTCTACCCCAGGACCAGACTCACTCCCAGGAGTGAGGATGCAATGATGATTTTCTGGGGTCCCTGAGGCGTCCCAGCATTGGGGGAGAGGTACTGAGTCTGGGTGAGAGCATCAGAAATTGGGGGCAGTGTCGGGAGCATGAGCTCTCAGCCCGTAGTAATGCCATCCCTCCTTCTTACCGTGGTACTGCAACTGGGCAACTTTGGATTTCAAAACATTAAATCCCCTTTCAATCCCATGAACCCAGTTTACTTAGCAAATGTTTTCCGAGCATTATTTAAACATGGTACTGGGCTTTGCAGAACATTATCAATACCTTATGCTGAAATGAGGACTCCTATTTTATAGGAAGCTGAAACTTGGAGTCGATTTGCTCAAGGTTACAAAGCTGGGCCCTGGTAGTGCTGAGACCAGGATTCAATCCCAGGCTCTCCATCCTTCCCTGAGCCCAGCTGCTCGGATGCCAGGCCTCCTGCCAGGTCCCGTGGGGACAGAAAAGGACGGGGCAGCCAGAGGCTCAGATGCAGGTCTGGGTGACTGCAGTGCACAGCCCGCCCGGTCTCAGCACTCTCTGACCCACTACTCTGGGCTCCAGCCTCTCCTGGGGCCTGTCCCCTATCCCAACTCAGGCTTCCTTTCTCCTACCTGAGTCTGCAGACTTGGTGCCCGCCCTCCCTCCCTCTCCATAGATGCCCTTGCTCTCATTTCCAGCATAAGGCTGCCGGTCCCTGAGTGCCCCAAGACCTAGCTCCAGCATCTCTTCCATGCTGCCTCCTAACCCTCTGCCCGCCCACCTGCAGGACCCTCCTTGGAGTCTCTCTCTCTCTCTCTCTCCATTCTTACTTGGCTCCTGTCCCACTCCCACCCCACCATAGTTTAATCTAGTCACTCGCTTGCTTGTTTTTCTCCATCATCCCTCTGTGAGCTCCCCCGGGTGAGGCCATTAACCCTTTCAAAAACAAAAAAACACTTTCGGATTTAAAAAGTAATGTATGTTGATTGTGCACAATATGGAAAATACAAAAACATATACAGAAGACAGTGAAAGTCACCCATTGTTCTATCACCAATGTTAAAAATTGCGGCTTATATTTCCATCGTTTCCCCAGGCTCACACGTTTGCTTCTGCTTTTCCCAAGCGAAGCCAAGATCGCACTGTAAAGTTTTGTATTCTGCCTTTTGAAAAACGTGATGTATCCTGAGCTTTTCCACGATTGGCCAACATTCTCCCTCACCACGAACTGAAGTGGGCGGTCATCCCGCGCGCAGAGGCCACGTCCTGGGTTTTCCCGCTGCCCCCGGGGCAGGGTCCCCGCGCGGAAGCAGCCTGGGCACCCCGCGGGCGGCCCCGCTCGCGCCTGCGCGCCCAAGGGTGTCAGGGCGGGTCGCTTCAGTGTTCTTCGGACGGGGACATTCTTGAGTTTGGGGTTTCCTTTCTGGCAGACGTCGGCGACCACTTCTCGGCCCGGGACCCAGGTGCCCCGCGACCCCGCCCGCCGTTCGCCTTTCGGCCTGGGTCAAGGGATCCCGGGAGGAGGGAGGAGGGAGAGGCCTCGGGGGACCGGCGGGGTGGGGCCACAGACGGGGCGGGGCCGCGGGCGGGGCGCTCCAGCCAAAGCCGGCCTCGGGCCCCGCGGCGCGGCGGTATCGCGAGAGCTCGCGGGAGGCGCGCCGCTCTGGGCAGCGGCGCTTCCCGGTCGGCGTCGGCGGCGCAGTGCGCAGGCGCGGCGGGCGGGTTTCCCCAGGCTACAGCCGGCGCCGTCGCCCGCTCGTCGGCCGCCCGGCGCCATGGCGGGCTGCGCGGCGCGGGCTCCGCCGGGCTCCGAGGCGCGCCTCAGCCTCGCCACCTTCCTGCTGGGCGCCTCCGTGCTCGCGCTACCGCTGCTCACGCGCGCCGGCCTGCAGGGCCGCACCGGGCTGGCCCTCTACGTGGCCGGGCTCAACGCGCTGCTGCTGCTGCTCTACCGGCCGCCGCGCTACCAGGTGCGGGCCGGGCGGAGGCGGGCCGGGCGGAGGCGGGCCGGGGCGAGGGCGGGAGCCCGGTGGGTTGGGCACGGCGCGCGGGCTCCGTCCGGTCGGGGTCGGGGCGGGCCGGGAGCTGGGCCTGCGGGGGACGGGGGCCGCTTCCTCCGGTCGTGTTCTTTATCGGCGAGTTCAGGCGGCAGGAGGGACCCAGGCTCGCGGGGCGCGGGCCCCCACATCTCCGGCAGAGTGGGTGGGAAATTGCAGTTGGTGCTGTTCAGCACCTGCGGCAGAGGCGCGTGGGGTGGGGAGGGAGCGGGCCCACGAGTTCTTTTATGTAATTTAAGGTGTGGAGACTTTCCTGCTGCCAAGTCTCAGGTCAGAGGGGGCTGGGCGCGGAGTCCCGCTTGCCTGGGCTAGATTCGCTGCGTGGTCTTGGGAAAATCCGACCAATAAACTAGGTTCATGCGGTTTTTCCCCACGGCTCTGAATAACAATAGCAATGGCAGCTAGAACTTACGTAGCGCTTCCTCCTAAGTGCTTTACATGGGTACTCGTCACAGCAATCCTAAAAGGTAGGTACTATTATTATCCCCATTGTGTATGTGAGGAAACCCGAGGTCCAGAAAGGCTAAGTAACTTGCCCAAGGCCACACAGCCAGAGAGGGGTGGACGCGGGATCTGAACCCAGGCACCCCTGCTTCACCCTGTTAATTTCTGAGCACACCAGCTCTACGTGTTTGCCAGTAGCCTACTCCCAGGAAGTAGGATGTGTGCTCCTGCAGACTGGGTGGGTGCTCCCTGTGTGCTCAGGGAACAGCCAGGTGACTGAGCTTCTTTTGGGTCCGTTTCAGATAGCCATCCGAGCTTGTTTCCTTGGCTTTGTGTTCGGCTGCGGCATGTTGCTAAGTTTTAGCCAGTCTTCTTGGAATCACTTTGGCTGGTAAGAAGTACTTTGGGAATAATGGTTTTGAGGCGAGGGTGGGAGAATCAGAGAGTCAGACGTGGTATTTCCTCATCCCTGTGTCTCATCTCTACTGGCTGAAGGCTGTTTAGGTTTCTGTAAGGTCTCTAACTTCCACCTAGATTCCTGTGTCTTGGACCCTAAGTACTTGTGCCCACCGGTTGCTTCTGTTGCAGGCAGAAACAGGTCTCCCTGGCACCCTCCCCGTAGGTGCCCTCATCAGTAATGTGACGAGCCCTTCCCAGAAGAGGGTACAGGTCCTCGCTGACAGGAAGGGGCAAGGCTCTGGCTCGTCTTCACAGGCCTTTTCCATCTCTAATTTCTATTAGGTCACATCTAGTGCATCCCCCACGGCCAGTGTAGGATTTTTCCCTACACTATGATTTCAGGCCCTTGAGCCTTCTAGTCCCTGACCTGGATATGAACCAGTGGCTTCAAGGTAAAAAGCTTTATCTCCTGTTATCAATACTCTGAGCCATCTAATCCTTCTTTGCTGGAATTGTTTTGTTGAATTTTTGTATTCAACATACATCACTGCTTTATTTTGATTATGTCCCACTCTCATACTTTACTGTGTGTAGTATCATTTTTAAAAGACTGCAAAAGGCCCATAATGCCTTCCCTACCTATGTTTGTTTGTTTGGTCTATTACATTCCACATGTAGTCCTTTTAAAACCCCACCTTCTGCAAACCTGAGCAGCCATGTTACATGTGGGTGCCTGCTGTCCACTCTCAGGTAACAACGGGACCTCCTCTTAGAATTCAGGGACAGTTCGGCAGACCCAAATTCGTACTTTGAGTTATGGCTGACTTGATTCCCTTGCCCCAACTTACCTCTCTTTCTTTTTGTTTTTAAACAGGTATATGTGCTCCTTGTCACTATTCCATTATTCTGAATATTTAGTCACAGCAGTCAATAATCCCAAAAGTCTGTCCTTGGATTCCTTTCTCCTGAATCACAGTCTGGAGTATACAGTAGCTGCTCTTTCTTCTTGGATAGAGTTCACACTAGAAAATATCTTTTGGCCAGGTCAGTGTGTCTTCCTTTCTCCTCTGGAGGGGAGAAGGGTGGTTTTGTGCAGGCCTGAGGGCAGTGACATGGGTTCACCTCTCAGCTATAATCTCCTGGAGTGATTTTCCCCCAGATCTCTATCCTCACTAAGCTCTTTATAAAGGACAAACAGAGCCTGTGAATTCCACTTCTGGATTTTGAATGGAGGACGTGTTGACCGTTTGCCTAAGCCTTCCATAACATACCACACTATCTAATATACCAAACTGTGATAGCTGTAATCTTAATTTTACAGTCAGAGATTTGCATCTGTTCATTTTCTGTGACTTGAGACTTTTCTTGTGAAGATTTTATTAGCAAAAACCTTTGCATCTGAAACCTCTCAAATTGAACTTTCCACAGCAAATTAAGTAAAATGTATGTGGATCCCAGGATTCAGTAAAGAGCCAGGGTGGGAAACACTAGATCCTTCTCTGCTTCACCTAGCTGTCCTTGTCCCCAAGGGAAGGAAGGGGGCATGTGGCTGAGGGACATGGATGGGGAGTCCATCAGGTCTTTGCCAAGACTCTCTAATTGGGTTGTTGGCACTTTAAACAGATGAACAGCACAACTTAGGGGAATGTGTTTTGCTTATAATTAAATTTTAATGTGATGACAAATGCTAATTGCCCACTAGCATGTTTCCTAATGTTGCTAGCCTTGGGAAAATAGGTTAATTTTAAGCATCCGCAGGGGGAGCTCCACAGTCCCATGTCTTCACTTCCTGTTTGTCACATGTCTCTCCTCCAGAACTGAAGCAGATCACCTGGCTCAGTGCCATGGGGCTGCTGATGGTGGTCTTTGGAGAATGTCTGAGGAAAGCGGCGATGTTCACAGCTGGCTCCAATTTCAACCACGTGGTACAGAATGAAAAATCAGAATCCCACACTCTGGTCACAAGTGGAGTGTATGCTTGGTTCCGGCATCCTTCCTATGTTGGGTGGTTTTACTGGAGTATTGGAACCCAGGTACAGTATCAGAAATGACAGTGGTTGCCTTTAATTTCTTTTACATTTTTAAAAATTGACATAACTCACGTAGCATAAAATTCACTATTTCAAAGTGTACAATTCAGTGGATTTCAGTGGATTTATTAGGTTGTTGGTCTCCTTTAAATAGGTGCATGTGCCCCCTGTCATGTTTTGAGTGAGAACAAAATAAAATGCAAAAGAACTGATGTAGTCCTTAACATTTTTTTTTACTATGTACATAAAATCTGGGTGTCCTAAACTTGTAAACTCCTGGCGATTCTAGATGCTGTTACCCCATCTGCTCTACCCCTTCCCTGCTTCTTTAAATTAGATCTGGAGCACCCCAGTGGGTGCTCTGAGGACAGAGATGGGGCTTTCAGGAGAGAGAGCCTTCTGCTGCTCAAGTGGATTCTGATTTTCATTCGAAGCTGCTGTTGATGAGGCAAAGGTCTAGATTGGATTTAATATGAGCTACAGAGGTTTATTCTGTCTCAGGTTGCAGACCAAGCCTTGTTTCCTGCCTATTGCCTCTTGAATATGTTCTCTTGGTTCTAGAAAGACTTGGCCAGAGAATGTGACCAGAGCTTAGGAGACTCCTCACCTCTTTGGGAAAATCCAGTCTGGGGCCCCCAAGCATTGCATTGGCAATGCATGGTCCATTGGGGACTCTCTGGTGACCCCCAATGGTGTAGAAGCGTCAGGACAGTCCGCACAGGACTTATTTTAATACTTGCATTTCTGAAACCTAAGACTCTCCTGCATCAACAATCCTATTCCGAGAACAAGTTGACTGTAGTAGAATCATGTAATTTGCCATAAATGCTATCTACATACCGAAGTGCTCTAGAACTGAAGAGTTTGCCTACTGCTGTGACCATAGATCTTTTCACACTGTGACCCAGCACACATGCGCATATAAAAATGGTACAGGTCTTTTCCAGGATAGTACTTACTGTGTACAAAATACTCTTATTTTCTGTCTTATTTGTAATGCTACTTATGATGCGCTGAATGGATTTCAGGGCTCAGGAACAGGTTGTGGCCTGCCGTTGGGAAACCCCACTACAGGGTGTGTCAAGAAGCCACACGTGTGTGGTGGCTGTGGGGGTACAGGTTCCAGGATCATCGACAGGGCCAGTCCTGGCTTTCACATTGGCTGCTTGGCCTCTCTGTCCTCACACATTAAGTGAGAACAGCAGTGCCACCTCAGAGGTTTGCTGTGGGGGCTTATTGGTTGGAAAGGGCTTAGCTTGTGCTTGAAACACAGTTAAGTACCCTGTAAGCAGTGATGGGAATAAGTCGAGGGCATGTGCCTGGCTCTCTGGGTGGAAGTTGCCTCCTTGGGGTAGACAGGTTTCCATGGGGGTCCGTCAGAGTGGGCAGGGGTGGAGTGGTGGGTTTCCCACACAGCACAGAAGTTCCTGAGAGCTGGGAGATGTTCTTGGCCTGGAGGGGTTGTTTGGTGGTAGATCAGCGGGGAAGATGTTCTCAAAGGGGAAAAAGCACATGAGTAAGGAGGTGAGAGGCAGTCCAAGTGGGTACAGCCCTGAGGAAGGGGGCTGGAGGCAAGGCACTGCTTTTCTGGGTTTGGGCAGGGGAGTGGTTTGAAGACAAGTGATTTCACAGTAGCACTGTATGTGGTATAGGGCTAGGCCGTGGGGGCCAGGAGGGGGGCACAAGACAGCTGCGAGGGGTGTGTGTGTGTGCGTGCACACACACGCTTGGAACAGGAAGGGGCAGGCTGGGAGCTCCACGGGAACTCTCACCTGGGGTGGGATCAGGAACTGCCCTCACCTGCCCTAAGGATTGAAATCTGAAAAGTTGATCTTTCTTATTTTTTTTATTTTTTAAAGATTTTATTTATTTGTCAGAGAGAGAACACAAGTGAGCACAAGCAGGGGGAGTGCAGGCAGAGGGAGAAGCAGGCTCCCTGCTGAGCAAGGAGCCCAATGTGGGGCTCAATCCCAGGATCCTGGGATCATGACCTGAGCCAAAAGCAGCGCTTAACTGACTCAGCCACCCAGGCATCCCATGAAAAGTTGATCTTTTAATTTTTAGATCTCTCTCACATAAGAGGAACAACAGAAAAGTGTCTGGAAAAAAACTAAAGTGATGAGTGTTTAGCTCTAATGTAAAAGTAGGGGTAAGGTTTCAGTGAATGGCTTCAGTTCTCAAAGACACTAATAGTATTTTGAGAGTCTCTGGGGCCCTTGGCAGGAAGTCCTCTGTGGATATTCAGGAGAAGCAGGTGCTGCTGAAGTTCTCGGTGTCGGGACACTGACCCTGATCAACTTCGTGTCCCCCGCCAGGTGATGCTGTGTAATCCTGTCTGTGGTGTTGGCTACGCTCTGACAGTGTGGCGATTCTTCCGAGATCGGACAGAAGAAGAGGAGATCTCATTAATTCACTTTTTTGGAGAGGAGTACCTGGAGTATAAGAAGCGGGTGCCCACAGGCCTGCCTTTTATAAAAGGGGTCAAGGTGGAGCTATAACACAGCAGGAGCAGGCCAGGCTGGGCCCGGGGGGCCTCCCACTGGGCGCGGCCCGGGCCACAGCTGCCTCCCGTCAGCCACTCTGCGGAATGGATTTTCTGAACCATTTTGTGTGTCACCAATTACTCTTCTGGAGTATCACTCAAGACCAAATGGTCAGAAGGCCTTAGGACCAAAGGACCCCACACCCTAGAGCAATCTGTTCTTGGGCTGAATCAAGGTAGGACACAGATCAAAGATGGACAAGGAGCAAATAACAGCAATATTCTACAGCGACCCCCCCCAGAAGGGCCCGGGTGAGGGCCCCGGCTGCGCACCATCCCCCACGAGGCATTTAGTGTAACTGAGACCCCTCAGGAGAAGTGGACGCGCTCATTCCTGAGTAAGGCTTCTTTGGCAGGAAGGGGTACGTGGACAGCAGTGCTTAGTGTTAGAAGTACGTTCAGAATCTTTAACCGGAAAACACAGCACAGCTTCAACCTCCTTACTCCTGTGCTAAGTGCATGAGCGTCTATCCGGTTGTAGAGATAATTCTTCACGAGGCACTTTGGCTCTATTTAATCGTATTTACATATCTATTTTTTATAAATAGCAGTATAAATTCTAAGGGGACTTGGTGTTTATAGCCCCAACTTTTATTTGGCAGACAGGCAGCATGGACACCTCCAGACGATTTGGCTGAGTGGCTTGTTAACAAGGGCACCCCAAGCCAGGGAGACTGTGGGCCTCTGTGGCTTTCCCTGGGGTCCTGGCTCCTGCTCTTCTCCCGAGAGGGGGCTGTTACCAGTGACAGGCGTGTCGAAGATGTGTCATTTTTCCTTTAACCAAGAAATGCTTACTGAACACCTGCTCTGTGTGAGGCATTGTTAACCATCGGGAAGTACTACTCTCCATTTATTTGGGATTTTAGTCTTATTGCATCATAGCTTATATTTTTGTGTTTCAATTGAAATTTATTAACTATTGATTTCTGTGTTTTGTTCTCAAAATTCCACCGACTATAATGCCATTTCAGACTGTCTTTTCCAAAGGGGTTCAAGCATATATAACTACAATTCAAGCAAGTCAGCTTACGAAAGTCTTAAATAGAGCAAATGATCCCAACTGAGATTTAGTCAGTATTTTTGTTTTTCAAGTTTGGGGAGATTGGTTGGCTTTAAATACATCAGCTTTAAGACCCTTGTTTAATTCTGGATAAGAGAGGGCCTTGGTCTCAGCGTGAAATCCTTCCTGCAGTTGGCGGTGGCACTACCGAAGCCCTCTCGCAAAGGCGGTGGCCGCCCCTGGCTGCAGAGCTGCCCAGCTGCCACGCCGCGCCTGGCGGCTTCGAGGAGCCACTTAACCTTTCTGTGCCTAGACTCCCCATCTGTAGAATGGGGTCAATACCACCTACCTCATAGGGGTGTTGTGAAAATTTAGAAGAACAACGTCAGACGTTTCAAATACTTAGATAAGAGAGATGGCATAAATGGAATCTGCACCGTGAGAGATTGCACAGATGCGGACCCTGGTCAGCTGTACCAGACTCTGGAATTGTGTGTTCAGAAGAGCATGTTACCAACTCAGAAATAGTACTGACTTCTAGATTTCATGGCCTAATTAATTTTTTCGTTATTATATATACCAAAGAGGTTTACGGGTTTGTTGGTTCCTGGGATGACACTCTTCTGGTGTGAGTGGACCCTACCATTGGCCCTCGAGAGGGCCTTGCAGCCAGGCCGGCCAAGGCCGCTGCTGGAGCTCTCAGCAGCTGGTCCCTCTGGCACGAACACTCCCCAGTGGGATGTCGACATGCACTTACTCTGGGAACTTGAGTTGAATCAGTTCTGACTTGTTCTCCAGACCACGCTTAGCAAAGTAAACTCCACTCATCGGGATTGCAGACTGGAGGAAGGCTTGGCTGGGGTTTCGGCAGCCATCCCCAGCTCCTTGAGGGAAAGTTCTGTGCTGCATCTAGCAGGATTGGACCCAGCTTTCATTCCCACGGTGAGGGGGGTGGGGGGGCTGTGAAGTTGTCTTTAACAGATGGAGGACAGCTAACGATGGCCCTTGGCTCTGGACAGAAAGTCTGAAGGCGTTGGCATTTGGTGATCTCAACTTCGTCCGCCTGCTTGAGTTCACGAAGCCCACCTTCCTGCCAGGCCCTTGAGCTCAGGAGGTAGGCCTGGTGTTTTGCAGTGAGATGCTACCGTTACACCACCTGGGCTTTAAAAAGCAAAATCCCATGGGTGGGAGTAGGGACACACCCCGAGCCTGACTTGTACACCCAGGGCAGAAGTCAGCAGTTACTTAGGGAGAAAAGATGAACTACTTAGGGGAAGATTTGGCAAGTGATTGACTTTCATCTAGTACTGACATTTCCAGATTATTTTTAACTGTATAAATTTAGCAGTGACAGTGTACACGACAGAGAATCAGGTTAATGAAGTACAGGCTTTTTGGGTATTCCCAAAAGCTTTTTGGGTAAAGGCCACATCACCAGTTCCCTTAAATTAAGAAACTGTCAAAAGAGATGACTTACTTTTTCCATTGCAGGTTTTAAAGTGGAGATTCTTAAATGGAGAAAAGGCAATGCACAGAACAAAGCTACTTTGAAGCAGCGTAAAATGAAACATTCTATGAGGATTTGTAGGCTGTGGCTGAGAATAGCAGTTTACAGAAAAGAGGTAGTGAGTAGCAGGAGCCTGGCTGAAAGCGAAAGACAGCATACCCCACTGTCCCTTCATCATTTGTAGGAACTGCTTCTTGAGCCTGAAGACTAAACTTTATTAATCCCTCCCATTTATTTAACACACTGAGTGATTGACATGATAAGGGAATATTCCTAAACCAATACATGTGTTAATAGCTTAGGCTCAAGAGGGTCGGCCGTAGCTCAAGCTCGTTCTGGTAGCAGTCACTCTGTCATAGGTACAGTAAACCACTGTCCCTTCTCTGCACTTTCTTACTGCCTTAGATAGTTGTGATCTCCCACCACATCTTGCTTCTGTAGTGACTTGATGAGGTTGGTGGGAGAGGCTTGCTCTCTGTGCCCTGCTGTGAGACTTGATGCCTTGCCCTGGGCTTGGAGGGCCAGCCGTCACGGGTGGTCCCAAGCGCTTGCTCTAGAGGAAGCCGTCCCGTAGCTAGGAGAGTAATTTAATGGAGTAATTATTCTACTCGTCTTTTTACATGCAGAAATGTTTATTTAAATATTTTAAATTGGATTTTCTTTCACAGATACTGAATATTCTTTCCAATTCTTAAATAAAACTGTACTTGATTTCACCATGAACCATAGCGTTATTGGGTGGGACGTAATCATGTCACCTCTGACTAAGAAATGTCTGGGACTTACAGCATAAAACCAGATGTATTTTGCCCACTCAATTCAGTTCTGAATGCTAATCTCTAACCAGTTTGTTACGACAAGTTCCTCCTGCCCGTTAGGCTACCAAGGGTTTGTGATGCTCCGGAATGAGTGTCCATGCTCCAAAACAGGTGCAGAGGTGTTGGATATTGATGTGATGTTTTCGTGTGTTGATCTGCTGGTCTGCCTGGCATGTGGAAGCCATTTGCTGTTGGAACCACTGAGTAAGCTGGATATCTGCTTAAAATGTGGCTGTGTGGACATTTTACCTCCAAAACTTTAAATTTTAGGTCATCTGGGTTAATTTTCCTTTTTAAGCATTTGAGACATTTCACCTGATAGAAAGGGCAACTGGAAAAGTGAGAAAAAGTTGTGGAGAAGTTGTGACCATCTCCTGCCGCACATGCCACTGGCTGCTGCTTTTTCCGTGAGCTCAGTCCTTGTGTGAAAGGAGAAAACCGGAGTGGGATTTCCTCTTTGCTGAGTCCGTGCTCAGGTTGCTGGGTGGAACTTACCAGCCGGGCCAGTGCTGCACAGTGCTGGAGTCTCCTTATCTCGAGTTTGGCCTGGTGCGGGCTGATGGGAGTGCGGGTCCCCGCATGCAGACGCTAAGGGGGTGCCAGAGCCACGAAGGGCTTTTCCATGTGGCCTGGGATGCCGTCCGCAGCCGCATGATGGGGACCAAGACTTCGTGCAGTGCAAACACAGGGAAGAGTGAAGCTCAGCTCAGGCCAAAGAATCTGAAATGAGGACCTGTCAGAGTTTCTGGGGTCTTCTGCTGTTTAGTGATTACCCTTTGTTTCATGATGGGAACAATGTTTTCTTAAATATCCCAGTCTTGATGTGCTGGCTGTAAAATACCCACCCCTCAGGACCAGTCCCATTTGCTAAGTCGGGCGCTCTCTCCGTGTGGGGATATCACCCCCGTTCTTCTGTCTGGGTCTATGAGAGTCTTTATTCTTCAGTGGAGGCTCTTCTGTGAGGCTGTTCAGAGTCCGGCCGTTCCCTCTAGGTTCTGATGTTTTCTCTCTCTTCTCTGTGACACTCACTGGGTCATTCCTAAAGGAACACTTGACGTGAGGTCTACTCACCACCCCCATGCCAGCACTAACATCCACTGGGGCCAAGGCTTTTGGAATGGGAAGCCTTTCTGGAAGTACCCATGGGTGAACCAGAACTGTATCATCTCCTAAAGCATTCTCATCCCATTTTTTTCTTTCTTTTTTTTTTTTTAAAGATTTTATTTATTAGCACAAGCAGGGGAAGGCGGCAGGGAGAGGGAGAAGCAGACTCCCCGCTGAGCAGGGAGCCCGATGCGGGGCTCGATCCCAGGACCCCGGGATCATGACCTGAGCCGAAGGCAGATGCTTAAGCGTCTGAGCCACCCAGGTGCCCCTCTCATCCCGTTTCTAATGATTTTTAGTTGTCCAAACATCTGCAGTTCAGGCCTTCTCAGAGCCTTGTGGTGAAAACAGGTTTGAATGGACACTCCCCTGGAGCATCGGAGCAGAACGTGGTGGCAGGGAGGGTGAGCCTAGTTTCTGGCCTGTCACAGCAGCAGACTGTGCCATGTCCTCCAAGCTCTGCCTGCTCTGATTTCTGCAGCCCCGTTCTCTGCCCCGTGGCGAGCACACTTAGAACAAAATACTAAAAGATCAGCCTGTGACAGTGATGTATCTTCCTGCGCATTGCTTTTTTCCTCTGGCAAGTATTTTGGCAAACACCGTGCCTCCAGTGAACAGTGATGCTCCCACATCGAGATATGATCCTCAGTCACTCTTTCTCATTTAAGTGACTCTGAGTCACTTGGTGTAAATGCACGCGAGCCAGTCTGCAACCCTCGGCGGTGTGAGCGGTACAGACAGCAGCCGTGGCCGTTTATAATTCTAGAACGCCAGCCACCTCTGTCCTCCGTGAATTCTCTGGCCCTGTATTTTACAACCAGACCCAGCCGAGCCCATAGAGCTGGTCAGCGTCAAGCCTGGGCCGAATGGGAAAGAAACCCAGGGCCTGTCCCTGTGCCTCATGTTTGTCTCAGATTGAATCACTTGCCACTTGGGCTGGGAAGGCTCACCTTACCTGGCCTGAGTCTCACCGTTGGCGCTGTCATCACACGTGTTTTGTAGGTGCTCCGACTGTTCGTCTGCTGGCGCCTGAAGCCTATGTGAGAGAAAGTTCCCGGGAGGCTTGAAGGCAGCAGAGCCGGCCGCTGACTGACTATCCTTCAGCTCTCTAGACAGAGAGCCAAACTGAGTGAGACACTCAGAGGCCTGCCTAGGGTTTTGGTCCTCAGATACTGACTGAAGGCCAGGGCTGCTCTCAGGACAGTTACGTTGTGGTCAGGAAGACGTGCCGAGCTTGGGAAGAAGGCGCTGCAGGACCAGGCAGCAGGGAATGGCAGGAGCAGAGACCTCTGTGGAGAGGATCTCTGGGACAGTCTGAAGCAAGAACATTCCAGGCAGAGGCTGGGAGGGGGGAGCTGGTCTGACTTCCCTGGGTAACTGAAAGGCCATTGTGACTGGGGTGTGGTGAGGGGCTAGTGTGGTTGGAGGTGGACAGGGAGGGTCCCAAAAGGGCTGTCAGGCCCTGGAGTGATGGGAAGTCTAGGCTTTAAGAAGACCATTAGCTATGGAACACCCTAGAGGGGCCAGAGAGGGTCGGTGATGGTGGCTTGCCCTGGGGCTGCCATGGGGACAACCATGGGCTGAGACAGTCATGTCAGCAGGACTCTGGGATTGGTTGGAAATGGGGTGAGGAAAGGAAAGGAATCAGAAGGTCCCTGGCCTTCTCACTTGGGCATCTGGGTGATGTGATGCCCCTCACTGCAAGGGGGGGTGTGGGGGAGGATATGGAGTCCTGCCATTGGGGGATCTGAGGCACCTGTGACAGACATGTCCAAGTGGAGACCCCCAGGAAGGGGGAGTTGGAGAGGGGTCTGGAGCTCAGGAGGGCCTATGCTGGGAAGGGCTTGGAGGTTGTCTGTCGCAGTGGGATTTTAAAGTTGTGGGGATGGATGAAGCCCCTTCAGCATAGGGTGTGGGATGGGGAGAGGCCCTAGGACTGGGCCCTGGGGAGAGCTGACGCTTGGGCATTGAGCAGAGGTGGCAGAGTGGCCAGTCTAAGAAGGGACAGCCTGAGCGGCAGAAGGGAAACCAGTGTGGGCTGCCTCAGAACAAGAGAGGAGCATGGTGAGGACGGCCATGAGCACCGCTGAGAGACCAAGGGCTGCGGCCAGAGGTCACTGACCACAGCCGGCCACAGGAGCGGGCTCGGGGGTTGGGCTGCCGGCAGTGGAAGACCAGGAAGCAGAGGCAGCGACACCAGACACCTGGAGAATGGTGCCCTGGAAAGGGACGGAGGCAGCCTCCCTCCTCCCCACAGACCGCCAGGAGCTGGGCTCTAGCCTGAGCTTTCCCTTTGCCAGAATTGGCCACAGGCGCCATTTCCCCACAGAGCCAGGCCTCCAGGAGCACATTACTTGAAGCTAGTTTCTCACCAAAGCAGAGCGCTCAGAAGGAGATGCACACCAATTATAAGAACGAGGCTTGGTACGTGTGCACAGCCTGAACAAGTTTGGTAGGCGGCACCCAGAATGTCACCTCCGTCCAGAGGCCCCCGAGGGGTCATCACCATCCTGACTGCTAATGCCAGAGGATAGTTGTGTCTGGTTTTGAGGTTTTATAAATGGAATTGCACAGTAGGTGGAGTAAACGACTTTGCGCGCTGAGGAGGAGACACGGCAGCTAGTCCTGGGTAGGCCAGGATGCCGTCACAACTGTGCGGGAGGCGTGCCGAGTCTAACCTCTCCGCACGCATGTCAGAAGGCTCACTTGAAGGGTGGCTTGGCGGTTCTGGACAAACATACAATTGCACACACTTTAATTTTCCTTCTTCCTCAAACTCCAATAAAACTCTAGTAAAGGGGCCAAAACAACAGGGGAAGAAACTTCCCCAGGTTGAGAACAGAAAGGGATAACACCAAAATTTTTGAAGCTGGAGGGCATGTAGTCAGTGGTTAACTACCTCAGCAGGCGTGAGAAACCCAAGCTCAGAGTGGACAGTGGGACAAGCCAAGGCCCAGCTCCGTTCACACCACAGAATCCTAGCAGGCCCAGCAACTGGCAGCCCCCTTGCCTCTGCAACAGGGAGGACGGGACAGAAGTAGGGAGGGGGGGTGACAGTCAAGATCCTTACTGCAGAGCAGCTGCCCCTCCCGCACCCCGCCAAAGGGTTAGTCTCTGGGAGGGTACCACACATAGGTGAGAACTGCTGGAAAGCAGGTGTGCCTGCAAATGCTCCACATAGTGGCCTTCAGGAAGGAGGCTGGGGAAAACACAAAAAAGCCCTGCCTACCTTGATCCCCTGCATTGAAGCACCACCCACGTGCTCTGAGCATCCAGTCTGCCCCTGCCCCCCAGCTCCTAATATGAGCACATGATCAAAGATGACCGGACAAAAGCCTTTAATGTGGAAGATGGAAACCTAAACAAACAAACAAACTTGGAGGAAACAGAGTTGAGGGAGAAAAAAAACAACAAACACCTATCAGCTTCAGAGGGGTAAGAAACTATGTCCATGAAACAACAGAAGGCGTGAAAAAAAGTCTAGGGTACAAAACAAGAGCTCTTGGAAATGGAAAACAATGAAATTTTAAAAATAGCTCTTGGAAATTTTCTTCAAAAAAAAGAACTCAGTATAACGGTTGGAAGAAAAAGGACATCTCACAGAAAGTACAGTAGAGAGACAGAAGAAAACACTGAGAAGGCAAATCAGAGGGCCAGCCCAGAAGAGCCAATATTCAGTAATAGGGATTCCAGAAAGAGAAAAAGTGAAATCATCTCACTGGTTCAGAAAGATGTGTGTCAAAACTGAAGGACATGAACTTCCAGACTGAAAGGACCGGGTCCTTTCTAATGGATGGAAGTAGACCCTCACCAGTGGGAAGTTTCAGAACTCTGGGACCAGAGAAAATTCCACAAGCTTCTAAAGAGAATAGGTCTTGTCACTAGGATTAGGAATCAGAATGCCTTCAGACTTCTCAAAGACAGCCTTGGAAGCTAGAAAATAATACAGCGATGCTGTCAAAGGAGAATCATTTCCAATCTAGAATTTCAGTCTAGAATTCGATACCCAGGAAAACTATCAATCAAGTGTGAAGGCAGAATAAAGACATTTCAGACTGGTGCTGTCCAAAATATAGACCTCCTGTGCACCCTTGTTCAAAGAACTATGGTGGGGGTGGTGGACTCGACCAAACCACGAGAAAGAGGAAACGTGGGATCCCGGAAACAGATCAAAGGTAGGGGTGAGGCAAATGGGAGTCCCCAAGAGGGTGGTAGAGGAAGAGCTCAGCCTGACCACTGTGCACCAGACCTCTAGGGCAACCAGCCCACCCTGGGGCCAGGTGACTCAAGGGACAGGCACATTGAGGACCTGCCACCAACATCCCTCTGCTACTGTAACACCTTTTGATGCCCAAGTGCAGTGCTGAGAGCCTAGCCTTGTCTAGACTTTGCTTAAGCATGTAGTGAGGAAGTTCTGTGCTCTCTTCCATGTCCTGTTGCCTGGATCTACTGAGGGCTGTCATTACACCCACAAGAAGTATCTTTTGCTTTGACCTACCCCTGAGGGCCAGAGGTGGGCGATTTTGTGCCTAGAGGCAGAAACTCAAAGCAGCCCACTCATTCTGTGTTTTTGGAGATGTCCAGAACCTGGTCTGCCCAGATGCCCTGAGTAAACTCTCATGCCCTGACCCACTGACTTCCTGAAAAGAGCTCTTCTGAATGTGTGGCACCTTTCCCACACACATTCTTAAGTGTCTTGGCTCTCCTGTGAACACCCCTTGGTCTCACCTGGGCTCCAGCCGCTCCTTCACCTTGGCAATGGAGCGGACATAGGGCGTGATCTGCTTGGTGATGGTGGTCAGGTAGGCATTCTCCTGCTTCAGCTGGAGAAGGTCATGGAGCTGGGCTGTGGGAGCCAAGGCCAGAGCGTTGGGTCTTGTTGGCTTCAGGTTCTTACTGTCAAGCCTCACACCATCTAAACATCCCCATTACCTCAGCGATTGCCTCTTTAATTAAAGGGCAATGTAGGACTTGGGAAGGCATTCTGCTTACTGAATCCTGACCTCACATGCATCATTTTGGGGCATTAGCAATTGTGGGGCAAAGTCAAGGACTATGGGGAAGAGCGTGGGAGTTTGTATCTGGTTAGTGGGTAACCGACTTCCTGCCCCTGCCAGCACGTGGGTTAGCTCCAGGAAAGGGGTGCACCCAGCAGCAGGTGCCTGCCACCTTCGTAAATCTCCTGCTCGTTAGCCACCCGCTGGTAGGATTCCTCCCAAATCTGAAAGAGAAAGTGAGTTGGACGTTGCATATGGCCATGAGTTGGAATTTCCATTGGTGGCATTTCTGTCCTCTAGCGACTCAGGGCCATAGGGCACCCCCAGCTAGTTCACATGGTTCCAGGCGGCAAAGACCCCAGTTCCAGAACTTGACACACGAGGGCCTCATGTTGGACCAGGCCAAGGTCCCGTTTCTCTCCCCTTCCTGTCTTGGGGTAACCCATGTATAAGGTGCCAGGTGGGGCTAGGTGCCTGGGAGGGGGGTCGCTACCTCCTGGAAGACTGCTCTCATCCCCTCCAGGGAAGCGTACTCCGAGGCAATCTGCGCGTCCACCTGCAGGGACTTGTGCAGGATGTCTCCCATGATCTCTGCCTTGATGAGCGAGTGGTGCTTGGTGAGGTCCCGGTGCAACTCTTGTACCTGGTCCTTCAGGTTCTGCATCTCTGCCTGCAGGCGCTGTGCAGGGAGACCCAATGAGTGCCTGTGGTTCCTGCGAGGCTGTGTTCACTGTGGGAGCCAGGTGGCCAGGACTAGATTTGGCCACTGCACTTTGGTGAGAAGGGGTGGGGCCTTCCCGAGCCCGCAGCTCCCTGGCCCCACTCACCCGGTAGGAGTCCTCATAGTGGCGGCAGTGCTCTGTGAACGGTGTATCCTCCCCCTCCGCCAGCAGCACCTTGGTGCTGATGGACCGGTGCAGCGTGGGCTTTTGGACCGGCGACCCCAACATCTTTCCCACTGGGGAAGGGCAGCTGGGCCCCATCAGCACCTTGGGGCCTGAGCCCGCTGCTAGTCTGAGGCGAGAGCCAGTGTGAATGCAGATTGGGGGTGGGGGGGCTGGGAGGGTCTTCCCCTACTCCAGGCTCTCAGCCTCTTCCCCTGGACTGCCCGTCAGAACCACCTAGGGGCTCTGAAAAAGCCTCTGCAAGCCCCACCCAAGACCAAGGACATCAGCATGGTATTTTAAAAAACTCCCCAGGGAAGTGTCAACGTACAGACAAGAGTCCATCGGGACATGTCAGGCCTGGTCCGGAGTAAACTTTGTTCACTCACACATGGGACTTTGGACATTCGGCCTGATGCCCAGTCTCCCTTGACTGGGGCCCTGGGGTCCCAGGCACATATATCCAGCTCAGGCATTTCTCCTAACTCCTCCTGTGTCTCTGGCTCTCCAGACTAAGGCCTGGAAATCAGGCCTTACCCCAAGCTGCCCCTTCCCTTCAGTCCCTATGTGCCCCGTTCTGGGTGGCGGAGGCTGCAGTGGCAGCTGGGGACAGCCCCCGGCTCCTCCCCATCCTCCCCTAACCAGGCTCTGCGCCAGATTGGGCAGGGACTTCCAGCCTCTGGGGAGGGCGACAAGCAGCCAGTCCCCACTGCGACGGGTACCTTGTGCCGCCCCCCACAGCCCGTCCCCGCGGCAGGGAGGGCACCCCAGCTGCTCACGTGTTGGTGCCGCCCCCAGCACCTGTCACCCGGCGCGGCCCCAGCAGCAGCAGTGGCTCCAGGCAGCGTGCAAACTCGGCGCGGTGGTCGCTGGTGATCTGGGTGGCAGGGGTGGGTGGTGAGGGGGCCTTTTTACCCGCTGGTCCCACGGCCCCAGCCCAGCCCCCTCCGCCGTGCACCTTGCTGTTCTGCGCTGGCCGGAGGTGCTGGGGACGTGTGACGATGCCCTGCAGCCTCTCCATCAGCTCCTGCAGCCAGAGGAGGGTGCTCAGGCCCATGTAGGGGGTGGGGGTGGGGGACAACAGTGAGGCCCCATGCCCCCCTCCAAGGCAGGGCTGTCTTTGGCACTTCACCTGCTGTGCACTGGGGGCTGCAGCCCTTCCCTGGGACTGTCCCAGAACCCCCACACCACCCCAGCCCCCAAATCCACGGGAAAGTCGGGGGTGGCAGGGCTCCCGGTAGACACTCTACACTTTGGGGGAGTGGATGCTCATGCTCCCTTCCAGGCTTCGCTGTCCTTTTAAAAGGGACTCAGCTGGCCCCTAAATGGTTTGCAGATGATGGTGTGGAGGAGGGGAAGGTAAGCCCAGAGAGCCCTGGTCCAGCCGAAGTGGCAGGCTGCCAAGCCCTGAGGTGGCAGTTGGCTGTGCAGGGTGGGCTGCTGGTCGGGAGCGGGGAGACCCTTCAGGAGCTAGGGAGACTCACATAGCCCAGGTCCAGAAACTCAGCCTTATTGGCCAAGCTGAGGAAGGAAGAGCAGATGACCAGGTGAACCTGTGGGGGGGGACCCTACTCAGTACCTGGCCAGGGGATGGAGGCCTCTGGGCTGGGGTGCCCAGCCCTGAACCCCCAGCTCCCCTTACCTGCAGGGTGGGCAATAGAGTGGCCAGGTGGGACAGCTGCTCCTTGAACGCCTTGTCCTTCTCTTTGTATTGGCTGGGGGAGGGGCAGGCAGCCTCATCCCGGAGGGGAGGGCTGCTCACCCCCACCTAGCTGGGATCTCAGAAGTGGGAAGTTCCATCTCCCAACCACCTTTGTTCAACTTCCCTGTCAGCACTTCCTGCACCCTGAGCCACCCTGCCCTCTTCACCCTGAGGTCTTGCTCCCCAGGGTGGGGCAGGGTCTGCCCAGGTCCAGGCAGTGGGGCCAAGGGGCAGGGGGTGGAGACCCCGCCACCACTCACCTCTGCACAGCCTGCAGCAACAGCGTTTTCCTCTCTGCCAGTTTGTCCTGGGAGGGACAGCCTGCTTCTGACTGGGCATGCCCAGCCTGCCCCCTCCCAACACTCACCGACTCCTGGGGCCCAGCCGCACAGCTGGTTAGGCTGGCTGTGTCTCCGGCCTCCTAGCCCTTCCTTCCTGCATGCCCCCCCCCCCACCCCGGCCTGAGAGCCCTGGCGCCCTCACCTGAAATGTCACCTCCTGGGGGGTACGCCCTTCCCGCTACCACCAGCCTGGGGCTGGACCTCACCTGGCCACGTGACTAAGTAACTCCCGGAAAGAGCTCCATGCTTGCTGCCCTGCCTCACTGCAAACGCCACAGGCGCGGGAGGTGGGGTGTTGTGGGTACCGGGTCATGGCTGGTGAGGATGCTCAGCCTGTGGCCGTCCAGTGCGCACAGCCCCTCACCTGCATGCTGCCGAAGAGGGCGTGGATGGCGGCCTCCTCCTCCGCCGCGCTGCGCCGCACCTCCTCCACCATCGCCTGCAGCAGCGCGATGGCCTCGCGTGTGGCCGTCTGCAGGGCCTTTACGGCCTGGGAACAGGGCGGCCTCAGCCTGGCAGGCGCGCACATCCCCGGGCCCCGGGGCGCCGGGCACCCTGTGCTCACCAACACCGCCTGCTCCAGCCGCTCGCAGCCCTGCACGTAGGCTGACTCGAGGTCCACGCAGTGCGCCCGGCTCTCCCTGCGGGGAGCCCGCGCGTGAGTTCCGCTCCTGGCCGCCCTCCTGCCCGCTCACCTCCCGCTCTCTCTACCCACCCCTGCATGTCCCGGAAGCAGCGGATGCACAGCAGCGACTTCTTGTCGGTGGAGAACATGATGTAGGGCTCCGCGTGCAGCGCTGCGGCGGGGGCGGTGGTGAGGGCTCCGCGCAGGCCCACCCCGGCCCCCGGCCCCCGGCCCCGGCCCCGGGCCCCCACCCGGCACGCCGCACTCACTGCACTTCTGGAGCACATCGCGGCTGCGCTGGCCCAGGGCCACGATGTCGTGGCGCGCGAACATGCGTGCCCGGTGCGTTTCATCGCGGCAGCGCGCGCACAGCGGCTGCCCGCACGTGTTGCAGAAGTACGTGGTCTCTGCATCCTGAGGACGGAGGACCGAGCGCAGCCTCAGCCTGCCCACGGCCTGGGGAGCCTGAGCCCGTGCCTGTCACTGAGCACGTCAGTCTCAGCCTGGGGCAGGCACGCGGCTACGTGCAGCCCTTTCGTGTGATCCTGACGCTCTAATATACCCAGTTTACAGATGAGAAGAGACAGTGAAGGGGGGGCGTGGCAGAAACATTCTACCCACAACAAAATTTCAAACTTGAAGGCTTTTCCAGCCCACCTTGGCACCCTCAATATTGGCCAAATGACAGTGCCCACCCTGGCCATCTGGAGTCACCACGAGGCTGGGAGAGGAAAGGGGATGAGGGCCAGTTGTCCCCCTTCCCTAGGCCAGAGCCAGGGCTGAGAGTCCAGGTCTTGGGCTGCAGCTGTGGCTTTGACCCCAGCAATGGCTATGAAAGCACAGACCCCCAACTCCTTACTTTGGCATTCAAGGCCATTTCCTCCCCTGCTCTCCCTGCCTCCAGCCCCTAACCTCCTGCTGGTCATCTCTCTACTGCTGGAGCTCACCTATCCCAGTACTAGCCCAGCACACCCAGAGCTTTTGATCCTGCAGGGCTGTTCTCCTGGGACTTGGGGTACCCCACCCACCCACACAGCTTCCACAGGTCAGAGTTCCATGTGTTTTTCACAGCCCAGCCTGAAGCCTAGCCTCTGCTCCTTTCATAGACCCGGGGGGAGGGGCCGCGGGGGAGCGGGTGGCAGGAACACCTCTCCCCACTAGCACATTGTCCTCACTTCCCCTTGGGCTGCAGGTAGCTGCAGACAGCTCCCCAGGTAGCAGTGGGTCCTGAAGGACAGGCCCAAGACTGTGCACTGGACCGCCCTTCCTGGAGGTCACAACTCCACCCTGAGTTGGGGACCAGTAAGATCTCCCCAAATCAAATGACTTTAACCTCTGCCACTATCTGCTAGTGCTTCAAGTCACTTATTCTGGACCTCAGTCTCCCCACCTGTAAAATGGGGCCCACATTTGGGATCCAGGGTGCCTTAGGTGTTGGAGAATCCACTGACGGGTAATGGTCTAAGGACATGTTGGGCGCACACTGGGAGCATCAAGGCCATCAAACCTGGCACCCTCGGTCCCGGCCCACCCCCAGGCATCCCTGCCTGCTTGCTGCACTCCAGGTCACAGTTGGCACAGTGCACCACCTCCGTGCCATCCCCTGAGCTGTCCACCAGGAACTGCAGCAGCCGATCCACCGGAGGGAGCCCGCTGGGGCCCTTCACCATCGTCTGGTGTCTGTGGAGAAGCTACAGCCAAGATCCAGAGGCGCCTTCCCCACAGCTCCCTATCTCCATTCCCACCCCCCACATTCCAGGCTGGAACTAAAAATAGGGCCTGGCATCTGCTAGAAATATCTCACCCAGTGCTCACTCTGACCCTGTCCCTCCCTCTGCCCCGTCCTGGGTGAATCCTGGGGACTCTTGGGGTTGGTGGCAGCCTGGAATGTCAAAGGTGGAAACCTCCCCCTCAACTGCCTCTCATTGCATTGCACAAATTTAGGGACACCACTTGAGCCAACATAACCTGCTTATGTTGACCTAAGACTCAAGGGATCCCCAAAGTGGATTTCTGTGAGTGTTATGACCACTGTGCTGAGATCCTGTACCGTAGCAGCACTGCGAGGCGACATGACCTATGTTCTAGCCCTCCTCTTGCCTCCGGACTTTCTTTGGAAGGTCTTTGGCCCGTCACTCCAGGCCTCGGTTAACCTGCTCTGTATAATGGGCGGGAGCCTGCGCACTATGGTGCGGAGAGGTGCGGGCTGGGTGCGGCGCAGCCAGAGCCTTGCCTTCCCTACACCTAGTTCCCCACCCACACGGAGCCAATCTCCCCCGGGGGTGGCGGGTGTCTGTTGGGGCTTGGAGGCACTCACTGGCACAGCGGGCAGGCGAGGCGGCCATCGGTGGCGCGGCCACGCAGGCAGCCGGCGCAGAAGTCGTGGAAGCAGTCCAGCAGGCACGGGCGCTCGAACTGTGCGTGGCACAGCGGGCACACCAGCGGGTGGCCGCTCGCAGCGTCCAGGGCGCCCAGGCCCTCTAGGGGCGCGAAGATAGCTCCCGACATCTTCTGGGAGAGCTCAGGAAGGCGGCGGGGCGTGTCCGATGCGGGAACCAGGCCGCGGAGCCCGCGCCAGCCCCCGCGTCCCCCTCGGCCTCCCGCGAGCGGCTCCCTCCTCTGTACCCGGCCCGCACCCGACGGGTGCGGTCGTGGGGCGCTGCGGTTGGGAGCGCCCGGAGCAGGGAGAACCGGCAGGAGGCGTGCGGAGGGGTCCTGTGCGCGCTCCCCGCCTCTCCCGCGCCCCCTTGGTGGCCCTGGAAGGTCAGACCTGGCAATGCGTCCTATCCAACGTCTAGCCTCCCCTGCTTCCACTTTGCCCACCTCACTCCCTCACTCCCACCCCAGGAATTCCCCTCCGGGTGTCCTCTGGGTGACCTGCAGGCGACACCCCTTCCTCGCCGGGCCGCAGCACGGCTCGGGCATGGTGTTCCCGTCCCATCCTTCCCAGGCCGACGGCTGCGCCTCGCCCCGAGAGCAGAGGCGGGAACACCGAGGCTGGAAAGACCTGCGCGGGGCGAAGGTCCGAGGCTCTGACTGGCCCCCGCCCGGGACGACTGAGCCCGGAGCCGCGGGAGCGCCGCGCGGGGCGGAGCCCGAGGACCCTGACTCTGGGCTCCTCCGGGGTGCGGAGGCACGCGGGCTAGACGCGCTCTCTCCCTGCGGACTGGGGCCGGGACGCGAGTGAGTCTGCGGGTCCCCATTTCTTCCACGGCCAACTGGGGGCGCCAGAGAGCAGCGGCCGCCCCTCCGCAGACAGCCGGGTGCTGGAGCGAGCGCGTGGGGGAGGGGGGCGCTGGGATCCCAGGCCTGCCTCTGGCCGGTTGGGGTCTCGCGGCCAAGTCACTGACCTCTCAGAGGTGAAGCAGGGCCGGCCTCTCGGTGATGCGCGCAAGTTTAATGAAGTGAAATGCGCCTCCTAGGCTTCTAAATAATTAAGGTCCCCACCCCCATCACCAGCCGAGTTCCCAATAAGAAGGGGTGGGCTTGGGAGGGAGAGGAGGTTCTGGGCCTTTCCGGCAGGGCTCCCTCTGCTGTTCTTGGCCTGGCCAGTGCTTGTTTATCCCAGTGTTGTTTTCGAGAGTGCCTTCCATCTTCAGGTCATTATCAGCCTTCTCTGCACGTGTTATTCTGAGCTCTGGGAAAGCAGCCTCTGTCTCTGCCTCTCTTGAAATCAGAGTCAAGCCCAGAGCCTGACCCACAGAAGGTGCTCAATAAAGTCTTACTAATCAGTTAGAAAAAGCTAGTAATTAATACTCAAGCTGGGTTTTGAAGGATGAGTAGATGTTTGACAGGGGGAAGAAAGGAAGTGAATTCTAGGGGTAAACCACCTGTTCTCTTAAGGGTCCTCTCTACTCCGGGTTCCATTTGTGCTCCAAGCAGCAATAACTGAAATAACAATGGCTAATGTTGTGGGCCAAGGTACGATTCAAAGTTCTTTTACTTGTATTAATTCACCTAATCCTGAACAACAGCCTCAGAAAGTAGAAAATGTTCCCCTAGTGAGTGGTAGAGCTGGTATACAAAACTGGCAGAGGCTTTATAAATGAATTATGCAGCATTTTCCCTCAGGAGGGGCAGTAGGAGGTGGATGTTCACTTTTTTTTAAAAAAAGATTTTTATTTATTTATTTGAGAGAGAGAGAGAGAGAGTGAGTGGGAGAGAGCACAAGGAGGGGGAGAGAAAGAGGGAGAAGCAGACTCCCCACTGAGCAGGGAGCCCAATGCAGGACTCGATCCCAGGACACCAGGATCATGACCTGAGCCGAAGGCAGCCGCTTAACCGACTGAGCCACCCAGGCGTCCCTGGATGTTCACTCTTAATAAGCAGGCTTATTTAATCCATCCATTCTTGTCTTCATCTGTTACTGAGCAGAGCCATGGGCCATACACATGGGAGGGAACACAGCACAAATAGACAAGTATAATAACGGCAGACTGTGGGGCGCCTGGGTGGCTCAGTTGTTAAGCGTCTGCCTTCGGCTCGGGTCATGATCCCGGCGTCCTGGGATCGAGCCCCGCATCGGGCTCCCTGCTCGGCAGGAAGCCTGCTTCTCCCTCTCCCACTCCCACTGCTTGTGTTCCCTCTCTCACTGTGCCTCTCTCTGTCAAATAAATAAATAAAATATTTAAAAAAAAATAAAAAAAATAATGGCAGACTGTGCTAAATGCTCCAAAGAAAATTATCAGGATGATGTGAAGGAGGGCAGCTGGGAGGGCACATTAGGTAATCATGGGCAGAGAGGGGCACCAAGCCTGAGACCTTGCAGGACAAGAAGAAATCAGATACAGGAAAAGCCACAAAGAGTTCAAAGCAGAAGGAGCAACAGGCACAAGGCCCCAGAAGCTGGAAAAAAATGTCAAGCCAAGTGCAGTAGACCGATGTGTGTGGAGACTCAGGGTTGGGGTGGTGCTGAGGATGGAGGGGGTGGGAGAAGGAGCATGGGTTTCAGTGTGGGGAGAAGGATGAGGGGTGGAGTGAGGTCATGGGGGTGAGGGTGGTCTACTTGACATTCTAGACCAGAGGTTTCAAGGAGACCATTGGTTGTATGTGAGGAGTCTAGGGAGACTTGGGGAGTTGTACTTAAAGGCATGATCTTGGGTCATAACAAAGGTCAAGTGCAGATAAAGATGAGGGGAGCTGTGTGCCCTGAGGCCCTTCAAGTCCAGGGAAAGGGAGGGAGCAGCAAGGAGATGGAGAAGGAGTGGCCAGTGAGGTGGGAAGAGAGCGAGGAGAGAGTCCCAGGTCCTGGGGTCCAAGGAAGGAAGGTCAGCAAGGAGGAGGGAGTGACCCACGGTGTCAGATGCTGCTAAGGAAGCAGAAAGAGGTTGGAAACCTGACCCTGGTCCTGAGCAGGGGGTCATCACCAGTGACCTTAGTGAGAGCTGTCCCCATCACTGGGGTGCAAAGGCCTGACCAGACCACTCTGGTCTGGTTCAACAGACAATGGGAGGACAGTGCACGGAGGCAACGCTTCCAAGAAAATTGGTGCAAGGAGATTGTCTCAGTCCATGCAGGCTGCTGTAACAAAATACCACAGACTGAGTGGCTTCAACAGCAGAAATTTCTCACAGTTCTGGAGCTGGAAGTCCAAGATCAATGTACAGAAGGATGTGGCTCCTGGTGAGAGCCCAGGGTCCTCTTCATGGCTTGTAAGTCAGTCACCTTCTCACTCTGTCCTCACAGAGAGAGCCAGATCTCAGGTCTACTTTTTTTTTTTTTAAGATTTTATTTATTTATTTGACACAGAGAGAGTGAGAGAGAGAGAGAGTATGCACAAACAGGGGGGAGGGGCAGAGGGAGAGGGAGAAGCAGGCTCCCCACTGAGCAAGGAGCCCCATAGAGGGCTAGAACTCGCCACCTGGGGGTCAAGAGTTGCTCGCTTCACCGACTGAGCCAGCCAGGTGCCCCTCAGGTCCCTCCTTTCCCTTATGAGGGTGCCAATCTGATCATGGAGCCCCACCCTCATCTAAACCGAATCAACCACCAAAGGCCCCACCTCCTCATACTGTCACTTTGGGGGTTGGGGCTTCCACTAGGAATTTTGGGGGGATGCATTCAGTCCATAGCAGGGAGAAAAGAAAAGGGGTGGTAACTGATGGGAATGTTAGGAGATCAAGAGATTGCCTTTCTTTTTTTTTTTTTTTAAAGATGGGAGATATTAAATAATGATTAATCCCCAAATGTCGAGCGGGTCTCTGATGGGAAAAGGGCTCTCGTTCGGAGGTAACAGTGGGTGCGGTGGGATGGCGGTCCGTAGATGTTGCTGGGTGGTTAGATGTGGGCGTGTCTGAATACTCTCTTTGGATTGCTTCTTTGTTTCCAAAGAAAGAGCAATGGAGGGGCACCTGGGTGGCTCAGTTGTTAAGCATCTGCCTTCGGCTCAGGTCATGACCCCAGGGTCCTGGGATCGAGCCCCGCATCGCATCGGGCTCCCTGCTCGGCGGGAAGCCTGCTTCTCCCTCTCCCACTCTCCCTGCTTGTGTTCCCTCTCTCGCTGTCTCTCTCTCTCTCTCTGTCAAGTAAATAAATAAAATCTTAAAAAAAAAAAAGAAAAGAAATAGCAATGGAAGTCATCAGCTGAGAGAGAGGCTGGGGAAGACGGGCTGGCATTCTGACCAGAGGTGGCAAATAGTCACTTAGGAGAGGATGCTTGGATTGTCAGGCAGCCTCAAGGGCTTGCTGGGGTTGGGAGCTCTATCAGCCAGGAGAAAGCACACCAATTTTTTAATAGAATTTAATGTAAAGGATTGTTAAGTAGGTATAAAGACTGGTAAACTAGTTAATGGAAGGGGTGAACAAGAGCAGTAGCAACCGTAGGAAGCAGCTGCCACGCCTAGGGTGGTTTTATTAAAATGTAGGAACTTAAAGGACGGGCCCCAGGGAGTTGATATCTTGGGGGGGGGCGTGCAGCTGGGTTGGGCTGGGGTCTCTGGGGAGAAAAAAGGAGACTGGTTCTCCATGTGTTGGAGTAACTGCAAACTGGATTCAGCTACTGTTTCTGGAACGTGCCACCCAATGGCCACTACCAGGATGAAGAAGCAAGAGTGGGTGACATTGACAGAAGAGGAACAAACAGGAAGCAAACAGGATGATGCCCCTCCAGCCCCTACTGAAAGAACAAGAACGGCAGCAGCCGGCAAAGCAGGAATGTGGTTTGCAGGCAAGAATAGCAGGATGGGTTCGGTACTTGGTCACCGGGCACAAAAGGCCTGAGTTTAACCTAGACCAGTCAGTATGGTGTGTTTCCTCCAACTATTGTAAGCCAGGATTGGATTTCTGCCAGATGAGGACATTGCAGCCAGGTGCGTGGAGGACGCATGCAACTGAGTGGTTACAACAAAGGACCCCAGGATGTAACTGGTAAGGACAAGAGCGGGTGAGGATGGGTGGAAAGCAGTCCAGTGGATCGTAGGCCTGGGGATGAAGACCCCCGCTACTCAACTTGTGGCGCATAGAACCCCACCAGCAGCAGCATCTTCGGGGAGCTTGTGAGAAATGCAGAATCT